CCTGTGAACTCAGAATGAACTGCAGCACATGATTTATGATTCACAGAATATGATAGGGGTCAACAGCATATGGATTCTGGTTTGTGCAAACCAGCTGCCATATAGTGTATGAGTATAGGAAATGTGGTACTGATCTGTTCTCTCAGAACAGGTCTGTCGCTACAAAACACACATCATTTTAATAGATAGATAGATAGATAGATAGATAGATAGATAGATAGATAGATAGATAGATAGATAGATAGATTATATATATCCAGTTATTGCAGCAGTTAATATTAAAGTCTAAACTTTAAAGCACAATTTAAAGTTAAAACTTTAATAGACTTGACATGGGACTAGTATTAATATACAGATTGAGATATAATTAAGGGTGTAAGTCTAAACAATCAATAGCTGATAAATGTGTTTTCCATACAGTTTGATGGTAAATTCATAAAAGCGGTTTCATGCAAAAGATGGGGAAAAAAAATCACATAATATCAAAGAATATATTTCCAAAATGGAGAAGGCAGTGTGTTTTGACTTTGCGGTAGGTTTCTCCCCTCAGGGATGCTCCATTTTGTGGCAATCTGGTATAAAATGCAATGTGGTACACAACAACATCATAAACAATACGCACAGAGCATGTAAAACTAGAAATAAACACATTCTAAGTTTTATGCAGCTGAGGATAAAAACAGCAGTTGGAGGTTGGGGTGGAAGACACATCTGCCAACATCAGCAGTAGCAACAGCAACATGCAAACATCAGCATATAGTGAGAGAGTGATGTGGTGGGTGTGTGAGGCCAGCTGTCAGCTGACTCAGCACAGTGTGATGCTTTATCCTTATGTCCCTCCAGAAGTAATTTATTTAGCACTGATTTATACGATGTAGGTTAATAAAATGTAGTCAAAATAAATGGCTTATTATGTGGTATACAATTGGACATACATCTGGATATTAAGGGCACTACAGCTTTGATTTACCTAGTGGTCTGATCTTTTCATGTCACTCTGCCTTGACCCACATTTTGTCCATTTATCCAGAGCTGCTCTAAACATTTTGACGCTTCTCAAGAAAAAAAGTCTCAGTTTTTTGGATTCAACTGACATAAACTGTATTTGTTTTTGTTCAGGAGCCTTTTGGAACAGGCTGTTGGATTTCTGTGCAGTGCAGTTAAAGTAGTTATTAACTGATTAACTCTGCACTGATTTCCATGTCCAGATGGTGCCATGCACTAGCCAACTCAGCTATAGTGAAATATATTTGAGTAAAATGCATTGTGATTCATCTGGTCAGCAGTTCCTTCCCTTTTGATCCACTCTCGTCTCACTCTATTTTCGAACAAATAACTGCGCTCCAAAAATGTATTTGTCCTGTCCCAAAATAGAGCACTTATTTTAAGTCATTCATCATCGCCCACATTAATCAGATAAGATAATTAGATTGATGTTGTAATTGAAACTTTCTTTATCCTGTGGACACTATTTACCCATGTGCTATGTCAAAAGCATGTTTGGTAGAAGACACATGTAAACACCCAAATCATCTTCACCAATTTGACAACACACAAAACAACTGCTGATAGCTCACATCTTTTGAGGTAAAACATCCTAAAATCGTAACATTAAGTAATTCACTTCAAGATATTACAGGCTTGTTGTATTTTCTCACATGGCAGATCTCCTTTCTCCCCACACTGGTTTTACAAAGCCATAATATCTGTTGGCTCTGCTACCTTAAACCCCTGGCAGTGGTAAGGGTTATTACTTTCTCATGACTTTGCCATCTCAGATCGAGAAATGCTCTGCTGCAGTCAAACAATCCTAGATCCCAGGATGCAATCTGCTAGGTGGGGTGTTTTATGCCAGCAATGCTGTCCTTCTTCCATTTAATTGCACCTGAACACACATATTGTAGAAATTTGGGAGCAAAAAAAAAAGATTTTTGGCATATGGCAGAAACAAACTGTCCAGGCTCAATAAACCATTGAATTCCAAATAGGAATTGGCGTGAATAATTACATTTAAAATATATCCAAAAACCACCCAAAACAAAAAGTTACTCCAATATTCAATTCGATCAAGTCTGATCCAATGTTTGGTCAAATTGAAACGTCCCAAAGACAGAAGCCAGAGTAACTGAGATGACAGTTTGAGAGACAAAACCTTGAACTGCTTGAAATGTCATATTACAGAAATCTAGAAATAATGTGTGTCCCTTCACAGAGATTCTTATGCAAAGAAAATTGATTGCTGGGTCATCACAAAGTCAGTCTGCTATATATCAACCATGAAGCAATGTGTGACTGTGTGCTAATGTGTATCCAAGCGTCTGCAATCCTTCACAGTAAGTGGCTGCTCTGTCACAAGAAATGTACGCTCTGGACACTGTAATAACATATATTTTAAGAAAGAGTTATTCATTTAGTCATCTATAATTTTATGTGCTTCAAATGCTGCTTTCACACACTGTAAAAGTTGACAGTAATTAACCTGGCAGTTTTTCACTGTGGGGCAAATTTTTCTTTGGTCTCATATCAATAAACTAAGGAGGAGGTTATTTAGATGCAAAGAAGGTAATCTTTTTTTTTTGTGAGATGACACAATATGACAAAAGGTATACAGCAAAAGCTTTTTTGTTCCTGTGGTATGGGATTGTTAAAACGCTCACTAAGCACACCTGACGCTATTTCTTGAAAAGCCTGATTTCAGGAGTGAAAACTCATTTCACATAATTGTCAATTTTGAGTGGACCTTTCTTTTTTTAAACATTTCTGTATTTTTCCTCAAATCCAACAATACCTTCAACTGATGTTGCATTAGACACAGTTGAGCCTGATGTTTTATGAATAATTTACAGATCCATGGTCACTTTTTAGCACTATCCCCTCCATCTCATCTTTATAGACCTCATACATACAGGTTTATTTTACCACCTTAAAACTAGAAGTTTTGAAAACCTGTATACGGCACTTATTTAGTTATTTAATTCCTTGTCATAATATGAAATTTGCCCTCTCGTTTCACATAAATTACTTGCGAAGTTCCTCATGGTTCAATTTTAGACCCACTCCTGATTCCTTTTTACACAAATACATGATTTCTACCCTCATAATGTGCAAAATTTTTATGATTTTTAGTGCTTTACTTACCACCTCCTTGAGAAAAATTTGTTTTAAAAGTAAAGCAAAATTATGTCCTGACCTCTCAAGCCCCTTTTAATCTGCTGTCTGTCCTCTCTGTTGGTGACAAGTAAAAATGTACTGTTTCCTCATTCTAAGCTGTTGTATCCTGTTGCAAACCTCCGAGGTTGTGAAACACGTGCTTTCCTTGGATGTACTCAACATATCATTATTTGATGTATAACCTCCCTCCCTCAGAATCATATCTTTACATTGAGCCTCTGGCTCCTGGGGTAATGTTCCTGAGGCTGTCTAGCCTCATTCTGACATGGTGCGTTGACAAGAGAATCGTAAGGTATCCCATGTCTTCTGTATCCTGTACTAATGGTATGTGTGAGGAAGAAGTACAACACATATGATGGTAGCATGACTAATGATTTGTGGATATTCTCTTGTTACAATAATGTACTGTACATCAAAGGACTTATTAAGTGTCTGACATACATTTACACATCTGTATCTATGTAAACTGTAGCCTGCCTGACCATTACAAGATTAGTTGATGATATTAGATCATAAAGATTACATTAAAACCATCATATGTCATTCTAATAACTTTTAGTAATAGCAAACACTAAGCTATGCTGCACAAAAAATATATCCATACTATTGGTATGTAAATCCGAGAACGATCAAGAATTTCATGTTTCCAAATAACAAATGCAGACCATACAGTGTATATTTCGGGGTAAATATTGTGCGTGGATTGGGTTTGATGAAGGTTAAAGAATCCTAAAGTGAAGAGTTCTGATGTTTGCTTTAGTGTAGGATTCGTTTGATCAGGTTGGAAAATAAATATGATAAATCCTAATCTTTCTAAGATGACATACTCAGACAGTGGCTTCATTTATTCCATGAACACACGTTATAGGAGGAATGTATTCTAGGACCAAAACTACCCCTAAAAATCATAACAATACAGTATGTTAACCATATGCCACAACCTCCTACAAAACGCAAACTCAATTTTTTGCTGGCTCTTATGAAACAATTTGCAAGACAGCTCATTCCACTGCCATCATAAGGGCCCAGATGATCACACAAAACCATGACTGCTGATGAGCACTGACCCTGCCACGCACACACCTCAGAGCCATCACTTAGGAACACAGCTTTCCTTGAATTTTAACCATGTCCTGTATCACTGTATTGCCTTTTGCAAAGTAAAGCCTGTTTTTATCATGAATGGCTTTGAAAGGAACTCGAACCAGATGGAAGGAAATTGCAGTTAAATGCAGCTGGAGTCCATGTTGGGGCAGAACCTTTCGGTGATATGGGATGAGACAGTGATGATGTCACTCCGTGTACTACACTGCATGCAAGTATAAGAGTATATAGTATGTGCATAGAGGAGAAAGGCTGCACTGGTGGCATTTACATACAATAGCTCTTGCAATGGAGACATATCTGTCTCTGACTATACTACAGCTATTACTTTCAGGTTTTTCATGCTTCACTTGTTGATAGATGTTTATGATCTTGAGGGCTGCAACTAACCATTATTTTTATTCTCAATTAATCTGTCAAATATATTGATTAATCAATTTATCATTTAGTCTATAAATGTTAGAAAATAGTCAAAGCGATGCACTTAAGTTTCTCAAAGTCTAAAGTGATGTCACTGTGACAATCAATCAATAATCTTTCTTTATCGTTTTCTAACACATTTTCTGCAAAGAATTACATAATTTTATCATAATTACAAGGAAATTTTTTTGAAAAATTAACAGAGATATTACACATATAAGCAGCATCTGATTTATTTGAGCTTGAGTTTTTTTATTATGAACAATAGGAAATTATATAGTAATAGGAGTTCAGCAGTTCCATTGGAATTTAATCAAAAGAATCACAAATATCAATTATTAGAAACTTTATTCTCTGTATTTGGTGAGTTGTATTTTTGTGTAATTTAAAGAGAAATTCTAAATTTTTGTATCTTCAGCTGACCTGATGACTAAAAGACACTGTAACACTATTAAGTCATTTGAAGTGAAGCTGTAATTTCCAGCAGTTATGTATCAGATCCTTTCTAGAAAGTTATTACAAAACTACAGCATTTTATATATCACTAAGTGCTTTCCAAAAAGTAATGGTAAAAGCTGGTGATGGTGACACCAGCGATAATCTGCAATAATAGAACATATTGTTCATTTATAGACCATGTGTTACATTTATTTCTACAAATAAACATCCACATAACTAAATAACATTCAATTTCTTTGACACGCACTGGCTGTACATTGTAAAACCTCAAACACACAACACTTAAACATCCTCCAGTTTCGTTGCATGTGATGAATGTTGTTTATGACTGTCTAAATTCCGTACAACAGCCGCTCCTGTTGAAATGAGGTGGTGCAAGTGAGTGGAGGCATAAGTCATGTAAACAGTAGTGAGAACACGACATGTTCTTCTGGCACCTTCACCCTTTTTCTCTGGCAGTGTGCCACACTGTAACAACACCCTCAGAGACGGATGAAAAGTTTCAAAGAGAGATCTGATTATGGGGAAAACAAGCTGAAAAAGGATCCAGAACTCAAATACACTGTGCATACTACAGTAAGATAACATCAGGAAGTTAAGGCTCCACATAGTAACAGACACCTGCATTACCCAGAGTGCACTGATCTCCTCCAGACAGTTTAAGAACGACAGAAATCATAAGGCGACCTCTCCAAAATAATTTGATCATTTTCTGTGTGAAAAAAAGAAAAGCTCTTCTTTTGAAGTTGTACCGACGTCCCAGCTTGATTACCACTTGAGATCGAACAAGATCTGGCAAAAGATAGAAAAAAAAATTGCTGCTGGCAGATCTCTTCATTCTATCTTGGAGCTGGATTAGATGAAGTATCCAGGGTATTTCTGACAGAGCCACTCTTCACAGCCTGTTTTTAACCCTGTATGTTCCACTTTCACTGCATCTGGGGGCCAGCTGCAGCTCTCTGTATGCAGTGTGCAAGTGTGTCTGAGTCTGATTGGGGTCACAAGAATGTCTGTCTCATTCAATATACAGCTGATGGACCAACTGGGAGGTCACAGAAGTTCCAACAGCCAGAGACTACACGAACCTGGGGAAATCTAATTTTGAAGAGTGCACTGTTCATGTATATGACAAAGTGCACTTGAAGCAAGTTAGTCACAAAGACATGAGGAGATTTAGAGCTATTGAGTTGTCAGAATGCGAACTGTGTTACAGAGAGATCACAGGCAGCTAGAAGTTGATGACATCTCATCAATGTAAGTTTAGTTTCTAAAATACATGAAATTCAGGGTTGTCATTTCAAGTGATTGTTTGAGAGTTTGTTATGTATTTAAAAACTCTTTGGTGCAATGCAAAAGAAAACAAAAAAACAAAAAAACAAAACAAAAAAAACACACATATCGTGCTGTGTGCGTAACAAAGCCAAAGATTAGAGAAAGCAAAACTAAACAAATTGTTCTTTTTGCTAAAAATGGTTTATTGGATAAGGAAGATTACAAACCTGATCCCTTGATGGTAACCATCAACCATCCGATTTTACAGGCGGACTCTTAAAAATGAATTACCACATGGAAAATATTAGCAACCCATGAGAGAGAGAGAGAAAAAAAACAAAACACAAATGATGAAAACGTAACAAAATATCAAGACCGTTGAGAGAAAAGCTCCGAGCACCAAACTACATGCACAACACAGTTAAAAAGAGAAAACATTGCGATGATGGAACAGAATAAATAGACTAAATGTGAAAAAAAAACAAAACAACAATGTTAAAAGTTTTTCCTTGAAGTTTAGGAAGGTTAGGGTTGCATATCCTAATAGAAACATCTTTAAAGCTGATGTGTTTTGCAGACCATTTCTCGAACTGCTGGACCATTTCAGTGTAACAAGAAGTGAGACAAGAAGCAGGTGTGTGTGTGTTTGTGTGTGTGTGAGTCTGCGTGTCCTAATTCAAACAAGACATCATGTGAATTCACTTTTCCGAAGACCAAGGCACTCAACTTTTACATCAAATACTTGTGTACACCAAATTTTGAGCCATTGCCACTGCCACTTGCAAACATACAGTACAAAGCAACTTGTTTGGAGTTGAGTAGTGAGTTATATGAACTCTAGCAGGTGCAGTAACTTTTTCAATTTGGACATCACGAATACCAAACATTCATTCCTGACTATTTAAGTACTGGTCAACAGTACTTCCCACACAGTCTATTTTAAGTCTTGATCTTTAAATCTTTTACACAATATTTTTGAAATCAGTTATCAGAATATACAGTCATAAAGTTAGTGAGAAACACAAACTACTATCTACTATGAAAGGATTTTTTTTTAGCTTGTTCTCTTGAAATACCAATGTGACCTCTCCTACTATATTTCACAGTCAGATTAAGTTTAGTTAAATAAAGCACATAGTTAAAACACAAATGTGATAAGACTAAAAACAACAGAGATAAGTTTTATGACTGACAGTTGAGCGTGAAAAGTGACAGACATAAGCCGGAGCATGGTTTTTGATAGTAACTGAGTGGTCCCCACATTCATCATTTTAAACGTCAGTAGAAACCACTGTGTTCCCATGTTTTTTTTCATCCCAGACTCAACCTTTAGGCCTTCTCCAGTGATTTATAGTATTCTTTCAGCACGGCCCAGGCCTTTGGCGCCATGAAGCCGTCAGGAGGATTCTCTCCCTCGCGAGCCATCTTACGCATGCGTGTACCTGAGATGAAATCATAGTCTTGATGGCTGCAATTATACAAACAGAAATAATAAGAGTTTTTAGTAACAGACATATTTCAATCAATACAAAGATGCTTATCAGCAGAATAGCAAATATGAGCCAACAATAACTGCCTGCTGCGTTGAAATCCAGTCCATTGAGTCGTACCAACAGGCCAGTTACCATTTCTGCAAACCAAAACTAATCTCACATCCCTCGCAGTGAAAACAGATATGATCACTGTGTATGAGAATATTTATCTTTCTAAATTCTACATTTCATATGCTGACCATTCCTGGCAGCTGCTTTCCTCCAAAAGCACTCTGTGGCTAAAGAGATGTTGTGACAATCCAGAAAGCGCCAGCACCCCTGTGTTTAAGGTACTTTATGGGTGTTTTCGTCTGCCACAGAATCTTTTCACTAACACTATTATGATTTTTTAAATCCTACATGAAGATTCTTTAGGTCAAATCTTTCAATTATATGTGAGTACACATGTAATTTCGATTTTAAAAAATGTACTGATTAAGCCTTCAGGAGGACAAGGTATGATTCCCATTTGTTCTTCCCATTTCTTTCTTGTCCGGACATTTTTTTTTTTTTCTTTTTCATCTTTCAGACATTCTGATGTCTACTCCCACTCCTCTCTTCATGAGAGATGGCTTCTCACAGCACACCGAGTTCACTTAGTTAAAAAAAGATATGAACAATTTTGTTTGAAGTGAGCAGCCAAGGACAGTCTTCCTATCTGACCAGGGCTGTGCAGAGCACTGGCACAAGTTCATCACATCTCCACTTGCCTTGTCTACAAATTACTGTCAGGAAAAATCAAGATTCAAGCTTTTAGACATCTTGTTAGCAGACATAGCAGATCATCTTCACTGAGCTCACGTTCAGAGAGGCTCGAAGTCCTGTTGTTTACGGAGTAAAATTTCTAATTGTTATCACATGACACCGAGCACATCTTGTGGCTTTGAAACATTAAGAATCTGTGAAGACGCCGACGTTGCATTTCTTATGGCGTGAGGTAAAGGAGCTTCAGGCAAATTCTTCCAAGAGCATTTTTATAGTGTCAAATTAGAAACAGCTTGCTGTGACCTCAGCCATTACGCTTTAGACAAAAACTGAGAGGTATTGGTGATTAGGCTTAGCATCGATACTCCTCCTGAAATTTGGCAAATCGCTGTCAGCGTGCATGAGGGAATGGAATGCCATAAATCTAACTGAGAGACGACTGCAGACTTTGGAAATCCAGTTATTCTCTTGCATTTGCTCTCTAGCTTATAACAGACCATAGGGTCAGTGATATTCCATATAAAACTAGAATTACCGCCTCGCGGTTGTACGCCTCTGCCAACCAGTCAAGCTGCAGTTTACATCCACGTCTCTCCACTCATATGTAGTGAAGACTTAATAATAGAAGGTATTAAGTCTATTTGTAGAACAATAGTAAAGTTGACCTTTGACTTTTTGGGTATAAAATGTCATCACTTCATCATTTTATCCTACTAGACATCTGAGTGAAATTTTCAGTGTATAAATTCTTGAGATATGGCCAAAAATGTGTTTTGACAGTTCACAGTGACCTTGACCTTTGACCACCAAATTCTAATCAGTTCATCCAAGTGAAGGTTTGTACCAAATCTGAACAATCCATACATATACTTATGTTTATATGTTTGCCTATAATTGTGACAATTACATTTTTTTTTACATATAATTATACTGTTTTACATTTTGTTTTATTCATTATGTTTATGGACTTGACAGTTAAATTAAGTCTAAATAAATAAACTTTTTATCCCAATGTGGAAAAAAGTGACATTCAGTATAAACGACGTGGTAACAGGGATTTTCTGTCACAAAGTGATCAAAGTGTTTCAAACGCAGAGCAGGACAGTTTTTTCTTTCTTACCTAGCCATGTCAAAATTTCAAAGCCCAATTGTTGGTAATATTTTCAAACACACTTTTTTTTTTTTTTTTTTTTTTTTTTTTTTTTTTTTTTAGAAGAACTGTTATCTCTTTCCACAGAAGTACTTAATGTTCCTGATCAACAAGTCGGTTTGGCTTTAACGTCATAAATTTGCATCATGGAAAACAAAGCAAATCTTCCGATTAGTCTGGCCATATTTAGTTTTAACATTCCTGGCCAAACACAGCTACAGTTGCATAACCTGATGGTGGAGGCTGCATCAAAACCAGAGGAGAGGCAGTGAGATTGCATGATTTTTGTTAGTCATAATGTGCAATGTCCGTATACAAACTTTAATTAATAGCAGGTCTCTGTAATTTTTTACCAACATCAAAGATCATACTAATCCACAAAACCTTTTAACTGTGTAAGAAAGAAAAGCAACTTGTTATTCTTGGCATGACATTTACTGTAGACAGAAGAGAAAGAGGAAAGAAAATGGATGAAAGGGTTTTAAAAAAAAAAAGGCCTAATTAGTAATTAATCTAATTTAGAGAATGTAATTTCTGTTTAGGCTGCTGGTTCTAATTGGACATGTGAGGTATTACTCTGGACTACATCTACAAATTAGCCATTTAATTTAGTGTGAGTGAGCACTGCTGCTTTAGACTCAAACTATGTATGTTTTCCAAAACCCTCACAAACTTTAAGACTGTGGGAAACAAGCTGGGATAAGGGTTTTAACAAAAATTAAATTAAAACACGAACGCAAGTTCTCACTTTTTAGGGTCGTAAAAATCCATTGCCCTTTTGACCTTGTTGTAAGCAGCAACCTTAAAGGGTACAATCTCCAGGGTGATGAGGCCTGGAGCCATGGTGAGGACCTTGGCCCCATGAGTGGGTTCGTACAGGTCCTTTCCTGTGTCAGGATGGGGCATGCCTGCAGGGTCACGGCCAACGATGTAGAAGTTGGCACCAGCCACCATTCGAGCTCTGCAGTGCCACTGAACCTGTGGACGAGGAGAAAAAGAGAAACTGTAGAGACTGAGGAAACGTTGAGGAGATTAGAAAAGGAAAAGGAAAAAGTAAGTTTGTATAGATTTTTTCTTTGCATTTTCTTTGAAAGGCCACAAGGGAAAACAACATTATACACACACACACACACACACACACACACACACACACACACACACACACACACACACACACATAGAAAACAGCTCTGGTCTTTTATACAAGCTGTTTAAAAATAGTTCTTGGAGATGAAAATTTGTTCTGCCGTACTGTTTTGTTTATGCTCAGCCTCCATCCTATTGTATTTGCTTTAGTTGGGCACTATGTCAGGCGTGTTGAGGGCCTTTAATAGAGTGTGAGCCGCTTATGCAGAGTGCTGGAAAATCATGTTATTATTAGTCAAACATGAAAGTCTCCAAGCAAGATGTATTGTGTTTAATGAACAACTTGCTCTTTGTGCTGTAGCTAATTTAATAGAAAAACACTCCATTTTTGGAATAAAGGAGTTATTTTTAATATAACAGTGACTGGAACGTGCTTTCTCTGGCTACCTGACTGTGGATGCTACAATATTTCTCTACAGTTTAAAATATTATCAAAATTGCGCAGGATAAACGATCAGCTGAAATTTTGAAATATACAGCCAGTTAAAACAAAAACTGACAGCTGCCTTTACCAGTTACTCGTTTTAGCAGACTTATGCTACCTCCTCAACTTCAGCCAGCCAGTCTCCAACAATTGTTCCCCTTAGGAATTTGCATTCACTATACGCACAGAGGTTCCCTTTCTGTTTCTCATTATCAATAATTGCTAAAACTCCACATCACTTCTTGATAATTACTAATACTACTGCCATTAGAATAATGTTCCTCCCTGTGTAGTTTGTATATTTTAGGATGTAGGGTTTTTAGATTAGGCTTACAAAACATGCAATTTCAGCTCAGGATGGAAGCTCAACAACAGTCTGGCAAATATGGACATTGGCTAGAAGCAGGAAGCTTGTTTTACTGTTTGAGTGACAGGGACACCAAGGGTATATGTTGTTAAACAAGGTCAATGACACTAAGGCTGGAGTCTGGTTCTCTAAAGCTCCCATTCAGAATTACAAACTGAATAAATTCACTGCCTGACATGCACCAGCCTCCAATCTGCTCTCAATAATTTTCTCCATAGCTTTCCCATTATCATAAGTGAATGATTAAAAGATTCCCAGCTACACAGCTACGCTCAGTCACACGGAGAGGTTTGTGTATGGCATGGAAACACGAAACAGAGCGCCTGTAAATCCCTCTTCCTGCCATTTATCACACTCAAAAATGTGCAGACACTAAGTACGTGACAGTCCTATTCCCCATGTCTGTTGTCATTACTTGGTGCTGCAGTCACATTTTTTGTTCCCTGTCAATTTTGAGGAAAACATGATGCCCTTTTATTTTTTTGATTTTTTTTAAAGAAACCTCAAAAATGTAACTGAAAATTAACAATATACTTGTTATTCATTACCTCAGTTGGCCCAGCATACATCATGGGTGAAGGAAAGATCGCAACAATGGTAGAGTCTGGATTCAGGACGCCCTCCTCCAGCACAGCAGCATGCTGCTTCATTCGCCAAGGCAGCGGCACATCATCGTCCTTAGTCCACCCTCCCAGTGGGTGGAGCAGCAGCACGGGCCGGCGGTAGCCTCGCTCGATGAGGCGCTTGTGGGTGTCCTGCATCAGAAGAGCATGGCCGTTGTGGACTGGGTTGCGGAGCTGGAAGGCAAATACAGCATCTAGATAGAGAGAAAGGAGAAGAAGGTTTTGTTATAATGCGATGAAACACATCTGTACAAGACAAACAAAGGGTCCCAATATACTTATCAAGCAGCTAAGTGCCCAACCACTGGAAACCCATACAGCCTGTGTTGTTATTGGTGAACGGTAGAATCAACCCAGAGATGCCCTCAACTCTGACCTCCTTACTCTCACCATTTTCCTCTTTGGTAAAGCCTAAACTAAAAATAAAAGTACTATTAATATCAACACAACTTGACCTCTTACCTGCATTCATTTCTTTAAACTTCTGTTTGAGCTCAGTGGGTGTCAGTCGGTACTGGTCGAGTCCATCGTTCCAGCAGATCCTGTCCAGAACCTGCAGGTCTCCACCGACCAGCCAGTCTCCACTTTCCATCACCATCTGAAATAGGAGTCACACTGATCATGACAGTGAACACAACTCAAACGTAATCCAGACTTAAGACACTGTGACCCATAAAAACTTCACTGTGCTGGAACCAGGCCAGCGTGAATTCTAATAAAAGTCCCGAGTTATTACCCAGTTGCAACGGGGACACAGCAGCATAAATCAAAGTCCCCACGTGTCGTTAAACAGTCAACAAAACTCTGGCATGCCCCCTCTTCTGCATTTGGCCACATCTACTACCTTAATTTAAATAACAGAGTGGAGACAAAGTCAGATTGTATTCCACAGTAAAAACCTGGTGATGAGCTCATGACCACATTGGAGAGAATTTTTTCCCTTCATGAGATTAATCCAACAATGTCACCAAAGTGCTCAGGATCCAGGCAAAGGCTGCTATTGTTTCAGGCAATATCTTTCCTCCTGCCTCCTGTGGCATTTATGAGACCATAGCTACAGTTACTGAAAACAGTGGCCTGTGGGATGTTAATGTGATACAAAGTGACAATTCTGTACAGGCTCTGCAATAAAAGAAGAACAGCCCCAGCACTGAGACGGTGAGAACTCAAAACAAAGGCAACAAATTAAACCTGAAGTGTGTAGGCATTGCGAAATGCCGATTTGGAAGTTGATAAAAAAGAAAAATCCATTCATGTCACTTATTTCACTGACACATAATTTATCATGTTAAAAAATGCAAAAAAAAACCTCTTTGATATCCATACTTTACAAACATACTGGTTTCAGTTTGATCTGGCGACATATACATAAAAGTCAGAAGCTTGTCAGCAGTAGCTATGTGATGTGATCAATAACAACTTGGCTCTGTTTTAAGAAGTTTTCGGGATTGTGTTGTGATTTGTTCTCCACACAATTAATCCAACCTGCTCACTGCTGGCCAGAGATAGGAGAGTCATGACAGATGCTTAACAGTCTTATTCTTTGGAGGGATCAACAGCATCGACAAGTTGCAATTTAGTTTCCTAACATAAGTGAATGGAAAATATAATTTCTGCATGGACAAATCAAAGGAGGAGGCCTACACGTACACATGTGCTCTGTTTAACCATTAAAAGTGCCCTGTAGCTTAACATAGCCATAGCCAAATAAACAGGCACTACACCATAGTTTCCGATGTAGGGGGCTCCTGTCTGACTGACGGACAGGTAAACAGGAAAAGGAGGATTAACTACAAGTAATATGGAGCAGGTCGTCTCTGGCTGGAACGAGATGGGATGGAAAAAAAAAAGAAAAAAGTTGTAGCTACCAACCCAGAGGTGTGTTGACAGACTGGCTCCGGCGCAGATAGTTAAACATACACTTATGTATACATACACACACTCCTGTAATGAGTGACACCTTAATCACAGCAAGCTGAACACACATATTCGGCTGTGACAGGTTAGAGTGGATAAGGAATGGCAGTGGTGGAAATACAGAGTACTCAGCATGTGTTTAAAGCCAGCACTGAGACATCAGGTGTTGACACTGGAGAGTCATGGTACCAATTTATGGAACTGGCAGCTTCTAATGCATCTTAAAACACATTACTGAGCCAGATCTGATCATAAACAAGGTGAGACAAAAAAGATATCTGCTGAAATTAAAAATGACTGCCAACGGTGGTGAAATATTGAGACAGCTGTTCTCTGGTGTTCAAGTTAATCTCCATCCAGCGTTTGTAGCAGTAAAGGGCTTTAAAATGAGCCAGTGAGGTTTATAGTAAGTCTGACCCCAGGGAGTGAATTCATCAGATGGCACAGAGGTTACCATTAAGTTTCGTCTTGAATCGCTGCCAATATACAAGCGGCTGCCAGGCCACACTAATCCTGAAAACAATGAGAGTTAAAATTAGCCAGACAAGCAACTTTTAAAAGGTAACCTTGCACTGTCAGTTTGAGCAGATGGAGTTATAAAAAGTATATCTGACAACTATCTATGTCAGCAACACCAGACAGTTCTGTTCTTTTCCAGCTACAAGCCAGTGCCACTTTCCATAGGGCGCGCAGGATCATTTCAGGACGTTACCTCGCCACTGAGTGTACCTGAGCCCCAAAGCAGTCGATAGGACACAGATGGAAACAATTCCCGGGTATATTTGGAGAAGGGTTGGGTGAACGGAAAGGTAGAAGCTGGGAGGGATTCCACAGTCTGTTCAGCTGAGCAGTACAATCTCAAATGCATTTGGTGGAGGCTGAGAGAGAAACTCAGCATCCAAATATAACACCTGCAAAATGAGGGTGGACCAAAAAGATCAAGTGATTACACTGGGCGTCCTGACAGACTGTGAGAAAAGCTCCACTCCTCAACCTCGTCAGTGTTTCCATAAGCACTGTGAAACGGCCAGCTCGGATCTGTGTTCTATCAATGCAGAATCCAGGGAGGCAGTTTGCTTTCACATGCAGAGTGTTTATCACTGAGACAGACTGTCTGAAGCTCTGCAGATGCTCTTGTGAGCTTTTGGTCTCTCTATATGCCTCCCAACATATTAACCTCTAACCTAAATTCCATTTTCAGACAACAAAAACTATAACTCTGAACATGTCACATCAGAACTTTACCTTGATGTAAGGGTGGTCCTTGCAAGTGGTGCCCCACTGACGAGCGCAGCGCTCTTCTTTGCGGTGTTCATAAAACTCAGGGTTACGGAGGATGGCAACTCGCCTGCCTTCGTAGACCAGAGCCATGGCCGTCACGCCATCTAAACGCTCTTTATCTGCAGTAGACACTGGCAGCACCACAGGCACTGACAGGTTGATAACACCACCTAGGACAAGGGACAAATTAAACAATTTTTATGAGCAGAAAAGACACATTTATGCAGAAAAGTGTTGTTGTTCCCAGACATTTTGTTCAGCCAAAAGTTGTTGACATTTTTGCAGTAACATACCAAGAAATGCACCAACAAATACCATGAAGAAGATGGCCTCAAGCTAGCAAACACTGATGTAAAGGAATGCACATTTTGAAATAGGGCTTTGCAAGGATTTTATGAAAACAGAAATGCCTTCAATGCGCTTATTAATCCTCAAGGATATACACACGTTTTAATGAAAAAAATGCAAAAATAACTTTGATATTCATTTCAGGGTTTTCTTGTGAACAAACAGATAACCATCCAAGAAACAACAAATACACAAAAAACAAAAACAAACAATGTACATGACCCCAGTGCAAAGCTCTGAGATTCTGGGAACATTCTACAAAAGGCAGGTTAAAACGCTCCAAGGTTAGCAACAAAACAACTCAACCATTCTCTAGTAAAGTTTCCATGTTGTACCCCTTCAGGCTAAATGTGGAATATACAGCTAAACCACAGGCTACAGTGAGTCTTCAAGGCTGCAATTTAAGAAGCTAGATGAGAAATATTCCCTCTTAAGCTAAGCCAGAGCTTGACCCTTTCTCATTTTAGGATTTATCTGTGTAGTGGCAGCACTCTGTTGCCAGGTTCATTTTCATCCAGGTTGATGAAAACGTTGGGAATGGCACGCTTTTCACATCACGTCAGATCAAATGCTGTGGCGACAGGAGGGGATGCTGACTGCCCCCACTTCTCCCCTGTACCCTCTGCTGGTCCCCTCTGTCACAGCGTAGAGCTTACAGCTGGTTTCAATAAAACACACACACAGAACTGCCAAATGTCCAAGCAAGGGAGACACAAGCTTGAATTTGTTTATTTTTACAGACTATTTGATTAGTCAAACATGCAGTTTTCTGCTTCCCAACAAGATTCAGTGCTACAGCAATCGATCCTCTCACTGTGATATCATTCTTTCACTTTCAAATCCCTGGAAGGGAAGGAAAATGGACAAATGGTGGCGTATGGTGTCAATCAATACAGAGGCCTCTTCCTCTGCGTCCCTCTCATCCAGGACAAACAGGAAAGTGGAATCAAGACTTTTCACATCAGTATATATTTCTGCCTCTGCCCAGCCAGCTGACTTTCTCTGACTACCCTTCTTTCTGGGGGAAAGAACTTAAATCATCTGTGATTTCATTCTAAGTTGTAATAATTTGATGGTTTTATTCTTCGGTGAAGACAGAGTTTGTAATATATTCCTGTCAAAATCTAAAAATGAAATATCAGCTATGCTAACTTTCAATTTATTTTATATATTCTTCATTTTACTGTGTGTGTATGTATCAAAATATTTGGCACCACAACAAAGAAGTGAGGTTTGAGTGTTCATATGGGCAATAAAAGTAAATTGACTTTTTCTTGGAATTTCAAACAATACATGAGAAATTGCTGTAATTACTCCAAGAGACTCTACGCCCAAAATGATATTTGTTTTCCAAAAAGTGCCAAAGAAAAACAGAGGTATTCCTGAGCCCCTCACTGCAAATGGAATCATTACTTCACCAACACCATACACAACAGCATCACTCTTGAAAATCTAAAGTTAAATCAACTTCACTCCTGATTATATCAAATGTGTCATTCCGCCACTTCAGCTAAATTGTGCATCACTGCTGTATAACGGAGCACCACTTCGGCACGTCAGCGTATAAGAAAAGCTTATTTAAGCCTCTCAGTGCATCCAACAGTGAAAAAATACGTACTGCAGCTTGGAGGGAAACATGCAGAGAGTAATTGTTAATCTAATTTAACGCTGCATTTAATCAAGAGTGCTGAATTTTTATTTGAATTAAGTCAAAAAATGTTACAGCTACAGCTGACAGACATTTGAGGGTTTAACAGGCAGAATTAACACAATGCTGAAAATGGCAAATTATAGACACTTATGCATTAACCCTTTGGCTAAGAGGTAAGCTAAGGACAGGCTCACAAAGAACCTATCTTGGTGCTCAATGTGTTTAAAGAACAGGGAATCACTTCATTTCTGCTATATTTGGAGGACAATATAGCGATCATGGCGCCAATAAGTGATTTAAAAGGACAATATTTGCATTTAACTACTGCTGTGAATATGTTCTGATGTCCCAACAGAAAGCCATCCGTGTCTTCTGGGTAAATCATTTTGTGGGCACTCATCACCACCTAGTGCTTTTTCTCAAGTATAGCAAAACTGAATTTTAAAATGAAATGTTTTCTTTGCCTTCATAACATGAATGACATCTTACCGTCCAGCAGACAGTCAAAATGAAGACACTGTAAGAACTCTCTCTCCCTCATGAAACCGTTCAGAGGAGTGGCCCAGCCTTCAGCCAGCACCTGCACCCACTGCATGTCCACCTGTGGATCATATACACAGTCACATACGGTAGGTTACACATGATGAATTAACTTTGAATAAAAACATTATATACAAAAATGTATTAGTGGATAGAGAGATTACTCATAATTGCTCTATATACACAAATCATTAACAGTCAACAGTTTTTTAGCTTCACTAGAAGATGTATAAAAAAAAAAAAAATTTTAAATCACAAGCACCTTGCCAATCTGTACAGCAGGTAGAGTCTCTGCATCAGCCTTAGCCAGGTCCAGTTTGTTCTCCTGAACGTACAGCTCTTTCACTTCATAAGATGCATCAACAGGAACTATATCCTGCAGAATCAAAAGAGAAATGTGTGACATAAATTATTCCATATAAAATCATTAGCAAACACCCTGCACATTAAGACTTTGGTAGGGAATTCTTATTTACTAAAGCAATATTGATTTTACATAATAGTCTAGACAGTGACATCAACATCCACACAACTGTGAGGCTTGACTGCCCCGCGGTGGCCGGTGGAGGGATGACGGCACCAATTTTTGTAACAAGTCTGAACTTCAAGCCTTTGGCTGTCTCTGTAAATTGTCATAAAAACAGCCAGTAAAAAAGATCATCACTTGATTCTAAACGTGATACATATGTTTTCCACACATCTAAACAGGATAGCTAGTCCCCTCACCCTCTCCTGAAGCAGGTCAATAAGCTGCTGTATGCACTCATTCACATTGCAGGAGTCAGTCTTCAGCACCAGCTCCGGAGCCTCTGGCTTCTCATACTCTGAGTCAATTCCGGTGAAACCTGATGAAGAAGATACAGGGAACAGAGTGCACAATGAGTCTATTTTTATGTTATTTCCATTATTGTATAAATTTTAAATTTATTAAACTGTATGGAGTAGGTATCCTATCACAACGCTCAAACAACAGCACTTGTAAACCAAATATTTTTGTTTCTCTTGAAATACTCCTCAATCAATAATGACACAATCATGATTGATACCTACTTTATCCATACTCTAGAATCAAGAATTGCTGCATGAGTGGGTTTAGAGTAGAAATAACCATTGATTAGTTACAATAAATTAGAGTTATTCATTTTTCTTGGGGAATCCAAGTAGAGCTTCAGAGAACAATTCAGTGCTGAATATCAACTCATTAACTTTGTCTCAGTTACCTAAGACCAAAGGGAAACTTTAACAGGAGGCCATCTGCTCTACAGAAATTACACCAAACAAAAAATAACATGCTGTACCAGTATGTGATAAGAAGCACTTCCTCCAACAGTGATGCATCACTTTTATTGCCCCTGTCATTTCTTTGAAACTTGACTTGATAAGCATGAGTAAAAACAGTCTTCACTTAAACGTTTTTCTTTCAGCCTAATATGATTTTGACTCATTTTCTTTATGTCACTGTATATCAGCCCAAGTATGGACCTAAGTATGAACCCCAACCAATCAAGAGTCTATGCCTTGGTTCTCATAGCGAACTTAACATGAACAGTGTTAGACCATACTCCACCTCTTATTTCCCCCGCTCTGGCTCTCTTGTACAGTCCCTTCACATCCCTCTGCTCACATACGTCCAGTGGAGCGTCCACAAACACCTCAAAGAAAGGCAGCCCTGCAGCCTCGTGGATCTTCCGCGCATTGAGGCGATCCTGTCAAACAAAAACCAAACATATACCATAGAATGGTAGACACATGATTTTAGCTAAAGAGAAGTTAGTGGAAATGAAGCACATTAAGTTATTAAGGATCATCCGGTTTAGTTAAATGAAAAGTTTTGTCCTCTGATGCATCATCATTCATCGCAGTGTACAGGAAGCAGCAAGCTGAGCTCAGAACTAGCTTCCACTGACAGACAGTAAAGGGAAAACAAAACACAAAAACACTGCTAACCATGCACTAGCCTGTTAATGCTAATTTCCCTTCAGCCTAGAACAAAACTGTTCATAAAGGTTTAGATTTTATTTAAATATAGTTCAATAAAGATTGTACAGATATGAGGCCCAGTAAAGCCCAGTCACATTTATCCCTGTTGTCATCTGTTTCTTTCATTCAAGCACTGATGCTTTCTTTGGACAGTCACTCACCCTGCTATAGGGAGAAATAAAACTGGCGATGCAGACCAGCCCAGCATCAGCAAAAAGCCGGGCCACCTCAGCAATGCGTCTAATGTTCTCTTCCCGATCCTCTGGGCTGAAACCCAGGTTCTTGTTCAGCCCTTGACGGATGTTGTCCCCATCAAGGGTGTAGCAGGGGATACCATGACACACCAGGTACTCCTCTAGGGCCATGCTCACTGTAGTTTTCCCAGCACCCGACAAACCTTAACATGGAGGAACAAACAGGATTATGAAATATCTATTAAATTACGTAAAGGTGTTTAGTGATGACACTCCAAAACCGTTTCTTCCGTAACATCTTGTGAACTTACCAGTCAACCAAACAGTGCATCCTCTGAACCCGCCTCTTGTGCCCACAACCTGCCCACGCTTGTTTCGGCTGACATGATGAGCCTGATAGGTGACATTAGTTGCACGTTGCATTCCCTGAAATGACACAGATTTACTCTCAATTCAGCCCAGAGGTTAACACGAACAGATGAAACCATTTTAGAGAGCAGCTTTGAAGCATTTAAACCATTAAGATATGGTTTCTCAAAAAATTGTAGGCTGTTCTATATTACGAAGAGAGATTATATGTCCAGTTGCAAAAAAGTTGCTGAAAATGTACAATTTAGCACAGCTCAGGGTAAATATTCAACTACCTTGTTTTATCCAGCCAATGGTCCAAAACATCAAGAACCTTTTATATTTTCCTTTTCTTTGTCACATATGACAATTCACATATGACAAAGAAAGACTAGGAATCTTAACGTTTGAGAATGATTGTGTTTTCCTTTTTAAAAAGTAATTCATCGATTATATTGATTAATTGTTTAATAATTAATTGTGTCAGCTCTCCATGTTTGTGTGTTTGTCTGGTATTACTGTTTGCGTTGTTGGATTCTTAAACACCACATTGTATGAATGTTACATTTCTATCCTTGCTGGTTGCAAATACTGTTTGGCAGAATTAGTTTGACTGTATTTTAGTCATCCATTAAATAAAAATTGGTGCATGTAGTAGGTTACCTTGCCAAAGGTAAGAGAAAACGTTTTTGCAAAGTGTATTTGCTGACACTGATGCTAGAACCTTCAAGGACAGTGTTATCACAGCTGAAAGGGCATTAACCAAACATTTGATGCCCTAGCATTAAGTGCATTAGCAATTAACTGATTTAGCCACTTTCTTGGTATCGGCGCTGCTAGCAATGTGGAGCTAGCTTTACTGTAGACCAGTGTAATGTTAGTTATGCTAATTGGCTAGCTGTCTGGCCAGTTGGTCCGTTAGCTCGTTCGCAGCTTGTTGGTGAAGGCGGATGGACGTGATGAATCGGTGTGTTGATTTAGCACAAGTTGGCAAAAGAAAACTCACCCAGCTCTCAGCGGCGTTGCTCAGCTTCTGTTTCTTGTGCGAGTTGCCGTACGTCTCCATGAGTGACAGCAGTCAGCGGCTGATTCAACCGGTTACCTCTTTTAAAACACACAAAACGAGAGGCCGTTCGGCTCTTTTTTTACTTATACAAGTATCTCTTTGATTTTTTTGGCACAGCTATCTCCAGTCAATGGAGGAGCCCGGAGCCGTGGAGCCTGGCACAACAACCGGGAAGAGCTTTCCCTACAGCCACGTCACCGGGGACGCGGTGACGCATTTCCTCAGTCTGACGTCGGTTCGGGAAAAAACTGATCTGATGTCAGTTGTTGTTTGGTAATCCCCCCTCAGCACAGTAACTTCTCGGTGATTAAAACTGATCTGCAGCCAGCACTTGTAAAGCAAACAGTTCGTAGTTGCAAGGGAAACATCACTTCGAATTAACATTATAATGAGATTTATTACTTGGAATATTGATGTTTAGAAAATGAAACCTGTGTCATTACTGACATGACTACATTTTTTTTACATTAGTTAAAATAATGGGAATGACTCATGGCTAAATGCGCAAATACATTGTAACCGGATTTTAATGGTGTTGTATCTTTTTCTCACATATTATAAAATGGTTACGAATATCATATTTTGCGTCTCCATGATAAATGTACAATTACCCACAAATAAACCGCGCTACTCCACCTAAGTGGGTAAAGACGCAAATCTTGCAGAACACTTATTTAAAACGAACAGAGTTACAGGGTGAAGCTTGTGCTGATTACAGGACACACTCTGGATTAAAGGGGATGCGAGGCGGGAGGCTGGATATAGAGGATGGATGGATGGATGAATGGGGCTACGGGGAGGAGCGCTCCCTCAAAAGCCAGCGGCAGTGTCGTGCAATGTAGCAGACCAGCCTGAGCAGAGCAGCGATCAAACAGGGCGCAGCATCAGGGATTCAAGCAACTGCAACTACAGGAAGAGGCACCAGGAGGCCCGAGCAAGGCAGGTAGGATGCTATCTAAACTGAGCAACATGTGAATCTAAATACAAATCCTCATCTCCTCATCGGTATTATTGTTGGGTTACATGCGTTTAATACAGCCGATTGATTGTGGTATTAATATGTGATCTTTAAAATGATGGTACAGCCGCACTGTATTTTGTACTCCTGATGACATTCAACTTTTTTTATCAGTCTTGTTTACAGACACAGAAATACATTGTAGATACGAATTCTAGTCTGCATATATGTCTTTGAATTTTCATTTGTAATATAGGGTTCATGTATTCGCAGAGAATCATGAAAAAAAAAGTTTTATTCGGCTGATCATTGGGCATGAGCTGGAACAGTGGGCTACGTGTTTATGGTGTGATGGTGTCAGTTATACATAGCATTTGTATTTATCATAAGCTTCAGGTAAAGATATAAAGAGGCGAGTTGTCACATATGCAAATCAAAAGCAATATTCTTGAATTATATAAACTCAGTACACAGTCTGTGGATGCTTGTGATACAGCTGTGCCTGAATAATTCAGCTGTCAGCTCCCAAATGCAACAGCTTTGACTGAAAATGAGAGGGTTTAATTACAGGACATGCAATGACCTGTTGCCCCACCCAGTAGCTTTATATGAAGCATGGTGTTCAACACTGTGTGTGTGGGGGGCCACTGTGTTACACCCCAAAAGTAAACTTCAAATCCGGCTTCGCAGCACACATCCCATGTGATAGACACCCTGTAATATATGGGACCATGGGAGACAACACCCAGTGATGAACCTGACATTACTGCCAGTATCCACCCCTCATGTGGTTTCTGGCACCCAGAAAAGTAAGGGTTGGCTCCATGTACACTGTGACCATTTTGGCTTGTATGTTATAAAAGTGGCTGTTCTTTCAGAGAAAAAAAAAATACAACAAAATTTATTTGTCTGTCAGCAAAGAATAAGTATGTTTGTGTGTTTTGAAAAACAGCTTTGGAAAGTGACAGTAACTGCTATACAGTAGTCATGGAATCCAGTAGAGGAAGAGAACATCATTGTGGTAAAGCCAAAGGTGTCACACATATGCGCTCTTGCATTCATATCATTGTCATGACATGTTTACTGATTAATGAATATACGAGATTATAACTAATGACAAACTGCACTAATGTTACCGCTACTATGAGGTCAGTATCTTCTATTACCCCCAAACACAGGCTTCTGCTTCTACGTTCTACTACCATGACCACTACTACTTGTTCTTCTGCTACTAATTAGTGTTAGAAAGTAAATTTACTGAAGAACTGTACTTAAGCACAGTTTGACATACTGAACTTGTACGTTACTTGTTTCCATTTCATTCCACTTTATACTACCACTCCACGACATTTCATGGGTAAACATTGTACATTTTACTCCAGCACATTTAGCTGACAGTGACAGATTTGTGAATTAGGAGTTTAGGCGGATAACAATAATCTTATATAATGTGATGCATTGTTTTGAATGAGCTCTACCTGAATCAGCCATAACAGCGAAAGACTACTTAGATGTTAATACATGTTAGTTCAACAATCCAATAATAGAGCACTCAGGGGACATTTTTACTTTAGTTGCTTCACGTACATTTTGCTTTACTTAAGTAACATATTATAGTATTTTTACATTCTTTCTTTTCTTCATAGTTTTTCCTGAAGTAAAGGATGCACATCCCTCTTGTTATTTCTCAAAGCAAAAGTAAATAATCTTTTGACCACAAAGGTATTAAGGTCTTTTTATTTTTTATTATAGAGCCTCAAACACAGCATGCACTGTGCTAAAGTTCTATACAAACTTGTGTCAATTACTTGTGTCACATCCTCTTCAGTGAGTCTTCTTAACTATACATTCAACATTTTGAGTGTCTGTTACTGAAATGAAACTAAACTAAAACCTAAGCGTGATGTACTGCTAAACATGCAGTTTCAAAGCTTATGCCAGGTACATTTTATAGCATTTAGTCAGCTCCTCTCTGTACTGTGACCTGTTTCTAGAGGGCTGGGCCACTTCTGGTGTGATTTATTTTAAGCCCTCCCTTTGATGAAGACAATCCACATGATGTGAAGAAGAAAATGAGTGGACAGCAATAGTAGCATGTTATTATGAAGGCCCCAAAGTGGAGTCAGAGCCCATGCTTCCCCTGGAGTAAAATACAGCCTTCAAGGCAACTGGGTGGCTTCTCTTGAAATAGCTTGGGTGAGTGGAGGCAGCCAAGTTATCCATTACGGCCTGTGACCATGTGGAATAGGTTTTTCTGCCAGTTTTCCATCACCACCCATCCCTTTCGAGCACTGGGTGCTCCAGCTGGTGGGAAAACACTGTGGACTGTACACTGGGGAGGAGGGGACCGGTGGAAAACTAGTCTAATGGAGACACCCTGCTGACCTCCCATGTACAGTACACATAAAGCAGTTTCACAGTGAACACTGGAAAATAAATATCTCCCATCTTCTTTGTACTGGATGTCACACTGACACAGGACAGATAAATGAAAACACAGAATTAATGTTGTGCCACTTTTACAAATTTGGACAGTTAAGTCAATATTTACAACTAAGAGCTCCAGGAAAAGCTGAGGAAGACTGTGTAATACAGTTGAAAGCTCTGTAAAAAGCTTGTACATGGACCTTGAGTTGGGACTGTGTATAAAACTTGACCAAGTAGGTTTTTCACCATGACCACAATCTTTCCCTGACCTTAATCCACTTTTTAGTTGTCTAGAATGAACCATAAGGTCAGTAGAACTTTCTCCGTTCAGGTGAATTGAATTGAATAGAACAGATGAGACCAATGTTCATATAAAGGCTCATATAATTAATAAGTAACAGTTTTGGAGGTCAGTGAAAACAATGTCATCCTACTGATAGTGGTGCTAGAGTAAGAAAATTCTCATTTGTTTTGATTTGGACAGCAATGATAAACAATTTGTTCTGTTGTTTAGGACTTGTTTGACATATTGAGGTGAATTATTACCAATAAATGAACTGTATTTGAATGGACTGAGGGGCTGTGGATCAGAAAATGTCCCAATATCCCAGTTAAATTATGGTGCTGTCATAGTCTATGGAGCAGCAGCAGGATGTGTCTCCAGATGTCATTGTCACCCCAGTCTGTCTCTCTGCTGTTCAGCTGAAGCATAGACTTGCTCAAATTCACAAGCTTAAACGGAGCTGTTCAATATTGGAAAAGTACAGTATAACCACAGAGATGCAATACAATCTCACTAATTACATAAGGGGCGTGGCATTGTAATAAGTTTAAATTGTTTTCTCTGCTCTTGTTGATCTTATTTGCCATCTTGGTCAGTATTAATATACCTTATGTACCCTTACTGTCTGTCAGAATGTGTGTTTTGTAGTCATCCATCTGATGAGTAACAGAAGCTGAATCTGCTGTGGGTGAGTCAGAGGGCATTCTGCTGTAAGCCTCTCTCCAGTGTAATAATATTTTCCCAAAAATGTGATCATGAGGAAACTGATGCTTTCAGGAGCTCTCCTGAATCCAAGCATACTCTATTTCTAACCCTTCTTTCGTCCAGGTGCCAGGTTTTTCTCTAAGTAAACATACAATTCTGTATGTATCCCAGATGACATTTATTGTGATGCATGTCAAGGCTGAAAGCAATATCCGCAAATCCATTAAAGGAGCTGTTAAAGGGACTAGAAACCTTTTAGATGTGAGAGAATAAAAAAAGGGCATTGCTGTAGTACTCTCTCAAGTCATTAACTGAAAAGAGCTCAACAACAAACAATGCATTAGCTCATCTCCAACTTTCTTGTCTAATCAGTTATCTCTGACTTTCATCCATACATTACTTTTATTCTATGCTATTTTATTTTAGCATCGTTTATTTTTTGTTTTGTTTAGTGTTTTTGTTTTTTTGTTTTTTTGTTTTCTTTTGTTTTCTTTTGTTTTGTTTTTGTTGTTCTTTTGTTTTGTTTTTTTGCTTTGTTTTGTTTTTGTTTTGTTTTTAATCATATCACATCTTCGGGACGTGGAGTTTTCCCAGTTGTCATGGGCTTTTAAGCCACCATGGATTAGGAGTTCTTTAAGTGCTAAAAAAAACTCCATGTGCAGAGAAAAATTGTGTGATACACTCGAAAGTTCCATAACAGATACTAGATGGACCTTGGTGGTGGTGAGATTGTTCTGTAAACTACTATTTCCAAGGTCAAGAATGAACTTCATATTTCAGCTAGTTTAGTTTTCTTGAGTTACGTTTGCATTAAAACAGGCTGAAAGCTCGATGTTGAGCATGTAAAGTTCTCTGTTGCAACAGATAATGTTTGATCATAAAACTTAAGAAAACTGAACCAACCATAGCAGCTGCTTGTTGAGGACAAAATCAGAAAACCAAAGCAGTGTGGCACAAAGACTTTGGAAGGCCCAAAATAAGAGTCTGACTGAACGTCCAAGCAGAAAATGTCTGAGTGGTTCTGGTGAATGTCCAGGGAAAGGAAAATATAACTCACAGCGTTAACTCAGACAACCACATCTCAAAAATAGATTTTCCATCGAAAATGGACATTGCAGCCAGTGAAATCAAGAACTTTGTATCAATAAAAGCTCCAACTCTTGCTTTGCTAATCCCTAGGATAAGGAAGAACGGAAACAAAAGTAAACCAGTGTTACTCTTAATGCAATCAAGCAGCTCCTGTTTACTTTTATGTTTTTTCTATCTTGTGGTGCTTGTGCTTTCCAAACTAAAGAGTTTGTCAGTTTTCAACTTTTTGTTTTCTCTCATGGCAGCTAAAAAGCCTCAACCCAGTGAAGCAGTGCCTGTGGATGGACAGTGAAGGCACCCATGGCTTCACAGGAGCTTGTGGATGCAAGAGACTCTGCCACTGATAATAGGAACCCAGGAATGGAGAGTGGTGCTGTGCCGAGCAGCGGTAAAACTTGTCCTGTCCACACCTCAAGTGGGGAGGATACAAAGAGGGGCTTTCGGAAAGGCATAGGGAGGCATAATGACTATGTGAAGATCTCTGTGCCAGAGTCCAAGGTCAATCGTCTGCCCATGGAGTGGTGGAAGACATTTATCGCCTTCTTTTACGCTGGCTTCAACTTGGTCCTGACCACAGTCGTCATCACTGTAGTCCACGAGAGGGTCCCACCCAAAGAAAGCAGCCCACCTCTTCCTGATAAGTTTTTTGACTATATTGACAGGGTTAAGTGGGCATTTACAGTGACAGAGATCAATGGCATGGTGCTGCTGGTCATTTGGATAATCCAGTTGTTCTTCTTCAGATACAAGTAAGAACCTTTATCTACCGTCTATTGTATAAACAGTTTTCTGTCAGAATATGTGTATTGATTTTCTTTATTTTTTTGTGGTTGGTTACTTTTTTGTGGAATTTGTTGACAATTCATGAAAACATCTCAAAATTGAATGAGCAGAGAAAATTAAACTCCACTGCAGAAAAAGACTACAGTTTTTTTTGTCCTTTTCGTATTGCACAATTAAATATTTAACTGTTTTCCAGTTATGTCAATGCTTGGCATATTTCTTCCTGTTACTCAGGAAATGCATAATATTATCTATCTGTCTATTGAGGCTGTCATCAGTGACTAAATCATATTTCTGTCTTTTCTACAGTGGAGTTTTCCATGGATGACTGTTCAACATGAGTACTTTAGAAAGAAGTCTTTGCTCTTTAGAGCTGACACCAAAACCCGTAGATAGCTGAACTAAATTCATCTTTTGACAGTGATTCTTACAAATTTGCCTTTGGGAATAAAAATACAACAAACAAAAACCTGACAATTAAATGGACTTAGCAATGCAAACAAAACCACCAATAACATTTTTAATACTGTTACAGAATATTAGAGAGGATTTCTCCTTGTCATTAAGTAGTCTGGTTAATAAAAATTGATCGGCTCAGATGGAGCCCTCTGATGTAACCTGTTGACTAAGCACACTGTGCAAGATAGTCTCCAGAATTTGGTATATTTAAGTAGATATTTGCCACTTTATATGGTGTAACCAGGGGATAACATTTCTGCATTCGCTTGATTATGGCTAATACTTTGTCCATTTGCAGGTCAATAGCAAGCAGGCGGTTCTTCTTCCTCATTGGCACCCTGTACCTGTACCGCTGTGTCACTATGTACATCACCACCCTGCCTGTACCTGGCATGCATATGACTTGTGCTCCTAAGGTGAGTAGCATGTAGACACCAGCTGTCACTGTTCAGCCAGGTAACTCTGGTGCACCCTCTGGCACTCATTTTGCGCAGCCACGCAAGAGGTAGCTATAAAAAAAAAAAGTAAATAAAATTTTTTAAAAAAAGAGGCATTTTGACTTTTCACTGCCTCAAGATGGATACCAATGATATTGAGGTGCATCAGTGTTTGATCAAAAACATGTGCTCCTGGCAGTTGTTTGCTGGGCTGTGTAGTGCAAAAGGATCAAAGGTTGGACGGTTTAGTAGCTGTTTTTTTTCTCTCAAGAATTTGATATGTTTCTGACAGTGTATGAAAGCCTTTAGCTCCTTGTAAGAAATGACTTGAATGAATTGTCAGTAATTTGAGCAGCAAGTACAAGAGATATGCCCATGTCTAGTTGATGATACTCCGTAACTATCTTTCTTTGTCTTTCTTCAATTCCTCTTAATTTTGACTACATGTTTCTATTCATGTTGCCTATAAAGTTGAAAGGATAAACAGAAACTAGAAAAGTAATTCAACATTTTTGGAAAATAAGATCTATCCCACTAGGATGTCTGTATTTTAAATATGACGCTACAGGGAGCAGCTAGTTAGCTTAGCCTAATACAAGGAGTGGAAACAGGGGAAAACAGCTAGCCCGGTCCCAGGTCACAAAATCTGCCTACCAACAGCTCTAAACATTATCTGGTTCGAGCTTCTCAAATGTGAAGATTTGCTGCTTTTCTTTGATTTACCTCACTGTAAATGGAATATCTTTGACTACTAAACTGTTGATCAGCAAATGAAAAAATATAGAATAAGAATCTTTATTTTTAAAGCACACATGCTTCGCACAAGGCAACAACTTCAAAATGAGTAGTTACTCATAATGTTTCTGCTGATCCCGTGTTTATCTATTTCTCCCTCTTCACATCCACTTTCTGTTCTCCACCAGCTCCACGGAGACTCCCAGGCAAAAATCCAGCGAATTCTGCGGCTGATTTCCGGCGGAGGTCTTTCCATTACAAATTCCCATCTCCTGTGTGGAGACTTCCTGTACAGTGGACACACTGTGATGCTCACCCTCACATACCTGTTCATCAAGGAGTGTGGGTACTCAAAGCAGCGCTTGTTTGTTTGCTTGCATGGAAATAGTTACTGCGATGTCCCATGAATAACTTATGTGAATGATATTGTCTGTCCATACTCATCCTATATGGCCCACAGTATTTTATCATACAGCTACACATGGATCTTCTAGGAACTAATACAAATAACAAATGCGTCGCCACTATTACTGTTTTTTTTGTCATGCTGTATGACGGATATACACTCAGTTGCCTGTTTATTAGGTACACCAAACCAAAGCTGTCTTATACAACATTCCTGCAATAAACTGTAACTTCATGAAGGTTGTAATTTTAACTTTTAATTTAAACAGTTTTAGAGAGGTGTTGAGTCAACTTTATGATCACTTTGAAGGCTGTAGTTTCTGATGCCGTGAAATTGTTGTGTTATACTTAGAGCTGTCTTCATTATATTGTCCACCCCACTTATATCAATAAGGCTAAACAAACACTTCTCAGTATAATGCAACGCAATTAAACAGCACAACAAACTACAGCCTCCTAAATAGTTGACTCAAGACCTCCCTAAAATTATAAGCTTTATGGAGGTAGGATTTCTTTGCAGGGCTGTTGTATTAGCCTGCATCAGTTTTAGCCAGGTGTACCTAATAAATTGGCAGCTGAGTGTGTTTTTTCTTTCTGGTATAGCTGGATAAAAAAAAATGTTACAGTGAAATGTTACAGTCTGGCTTTTTTGTCAGTGGATAAATGGAAGTTCAGACCACAAACAGATGCTGCCATAAATATTGCCAACACTCTTGTCTCTTCTTCTCCCTCTGACTCCAGACTCGCCGCGGTCGTTTTGGTGGTACCATCTGATGTGCTGGCTGCTGAGTGCCGTGGGTGTGGTGTGCATCTTGGTGGCACATGAGCACTACAGTGTGGATGTGGTCGTGGCCTATTTTATCACTTCCCGCCTGTTCTGGTGGTACCACACCATGGCCAATTTACAGGTCTGAACACAGAGCTCAACACTGGGTGGCTGTTTGTGTGTGTGTGTGTGTGTGTGTGTGTGTGTGTGTGTGTGTGTGTGTGTGTGTTGTGTTGTGTGTGTGTGTGTGTGTGTGTGTGTGTGTTGGGAGTCGAAGGGAGTAAATAAGAGCTCTCAAAGCTGAAGGCTTCCCTCTCACCAAACCTTGTTACACATGAATCATTATGCATGGAGGGCGTTACTGTCTGTCTGGTGACATGTGGCTGTATTTTGTTAAGGAAGTTTACCTCAAGTGTAAAAGTTACATGTCAACACAAGAATTTTTAGTGTTTATGTTTAAAGGAAATGGTCTCTATATTATATATTATTATAAACTTGGAGTAAGTTCTTTATTTTTTAGACTGTGTGTCAGAATTTCCTGGATGTCATTTCCTACAACAGTCAGTAGACCTTCAAAATGCTGAATCTCTCCCTCTACTGGCCAAACTGTAAGCACACAGTTGATATGGGATTTCAGTGCAAATATGATGTTTTTTTAGCTTCTTGTCAGTTTATGTAAACTAACTGTTTATAAATCTTATGCTGTTTCTGTGAAGTGTCTTAAAAAAATATTTTTAATAGTTTTTGCAGCTCAACACAGAAACACTGGGGAAATCAAAAGAGGGAATTTTGAACTAGAAAGACTGTAATTTTGGAAGATACCCACTCGATTTGTCTAACTCAGTCTGCTAAAGCCTTTTACTAACTTATGAACCACATCAATTTTGGAACATATTTTCTCGTTGAGGGACGACTGTGGATTTTTTTCCCCCCATATTCTCTTTTGGAAGTACATTAGATAAGAATCTTAATGGCCAGTCAGAACAGGATGAGCAAATAAATTCCAACCCTATCAACATTGTGTTTGCACACTCAGATGTTCACACCAGTTATATATTGTATCTCATCACTCTCAGAAAGATTATCTGCAATTTTCCCTTGTCCAACTAGGCCACTGGACACAACACAGTAATAAGAACCCTGAGTCCACATGCTTCATCCTTGTGATGTGACTACCACTTACTGGAGCTGCACATCTCTAATTTAACATGCAATCACACCTTTTAAATTACATAAATAAGTGACATTATGACAAAATGAAGAAACTGGCCTGTTCGTTAGCACCATGTTGAGCTGCATTTCTTGCAAGGAATGTAATATAATCAGCACATTTGTTTATATTACTATATAATTTTAAGGATAACTTTTTTTTCTTGACAGACTCTGAAATGCTCGCCTAACAACTACCTCACCAACACCTGGTGGAACCCGCTGTTCAACTTTCTGGAGAGGAACGTCCAAACTGCAGTGCCGTGCTCGTATAGCTGGCCCATCACCTGGCCTCCTGCCTGCCTTAAGAACCCCTGCAAGAAGTACGCTATGGTACAAAGCACACGAGAGGAGTGACTTGACCCTGATGCAGTGTTTCCTGATAATCCACTGTAGTGGTATTCATTCATTCAATATTGTCTACTGGACAGGAACATAATGGTACCAAATGCATAGTTACTGTATGAAAGAAACAAAAATGTGCCTAGAAGGATAATCATATTGTCTGGGTTCCTTGCCACTGTAATTTATTTGTGAGATAAACAAAGTTGTTTTTGTAAATGATACTTGTATCAGCTCCTGGTGAATTTCAGAAATGAACGGACAGTTTGTTGCAACTGACTCACAGGTTTGTTGCAATATTTGCAAGACTTTGATTTTGGATCTGCTACCATAACTCTTTCATACTGTATTGATGGGGTTTACCTCAATATGATATCAGTGTGCTCAAGTCACAAGGTGCCTTAGTGTGTTCAACGTCAGTAGGTGTACCAAAACTGCCATTATGAGTCTTGGTGTATTTGTTTTTTTTATTACTACTATTATTATTATTATTATTATTATTATTAATAATAATTTTGTATTCATTTTAGCAGCCTTGAGTGTGTATATCCTAGCTGTAGTTTCAACATTGTTCTATTGTATTAAAATGGAACCATACCAAGGCTTCATTGTATTTTCTGATTTAATGAAATAATCATTATGCTATACAGTACACCGCAACTGCAAGTTTTTGACAATTTCATATATAAAGCATCTCTTCAAACATGCAGAATTTCTTTTTTCACAAGTTACAAGAAATATATGTTTTCTAAAATAATTCATATGATACATGGAAATAAACTCATGCTTATTTATTAAAATGACATTGTCCACATTAAGGCAAGTAATAAGGTTGTACAGTATAACCCAACTTTTTATTATATACTTTACAAATTATTATGAAATTAAGCGTAACATCTGTTGCTTTGGATTAAATAGGATGGGAGAAACCATATTAAATACGATTAATAATAGGACAGATATCCAGAAAGGTTCCCTCTAAAAGAAGCTCCTAATATCACAAAATTCATGGTTTGATAAGCAACTTAGTCACATACATGTATGTTCAACTGTATAACAGTGTTATGTCTTTTTCTGTTGTATTTGTGAGTATTAGTGAAGCAATATTTTTTTACAACCTGATGCCCCTAAAACATTTATATTCCTAAAAACAATAGGAGCACCAGGTATTGCAGGATTTGTTTTCAGTATTTGGCTCTGTCCCTCAAATTCCATTGACAAAATACTCTGACAGCTCCTGGGCAGTGACAGGACCTTGGGGCTTTAGAAACCTCAGACAGGCAAACTAGATCAGATGGCAGGTCAGCTCTTTCTCCCTTTGAGAGTCACATCCTATCCATTGAAAATCAAGGTTGCCAGCGTTCAAACTGTAAACATGAACACACACACAAAATCACACTTATACCTTTGACTGCTGAAGAGGAAACATTACTTTCAACTGTACCTAACAGCTTGTGGGCTCATAGCAAGCTTGAGTTTGGAAATATAGAAAATTCAATTTCTGTTATTGTTCAGCCAAAGTATACTTTGTGACCAGTTCTTGTAAAATGTGAATTGTGTGATGGTGTGTCTCCAGATTGGTTTTGGCCTTTAGTACTCTCAACTTTCATGGGGAGGTGTTTATTTTTATTTGTACTCGTTTTCAAATTGTGTATGCAAATAAATAAACTAAGCTAAACTATTACAAAAAATAATAATGAAATGAGAAATGAACGTGACTAATTAAAAGTAAATAAACCAATTTTGCTACAAAAAGAATAAATAAGTGCACAATAAATATATAATGATAATAACAATAATATTTTTTAAAATGTATTCATTTGTCTCCTGAGCCACTAATGTAGCTACAATGTAGCTAACACCAGACTTTAGTTTAGCCTGTAAGACACGTTGGAAGGCTGAAACACCAAATCTATGCGCACCAATCACAGCAGGCCACAGCTCTGTCAGCCAATAGGAAGCCAGTAACGGTATCACGTTGACTCTTGTTTCATGACAACCCAGGAAGATCAAGTTTGTGTGTTAAATGCCAGTTTCGTCGTGTTAGCACATTGCCAGTGCTACTAAAACGACTTTATGAATGAATCTGAATATGGGATAGTATTGTCAGTTCACTGAATTCAGTTTATATCAAGTTTTAACGGCATGTTTCTGCTGCCATTGCTGGAGCAAGTGACCAGCTCCGTGTCACATGTAAACATTGTAGCTTTGATAGTATTCTTGCTGGTGTATTATTTAGTTCGTTTTTATCAGAAACAACGGCACTTCGCAAATATCCCTCCAGGTCCCAAACCATGGCCTGTTGTCGGCAACTTCGGCGGTTTTATCATCCCTTCTTTCATCCAGAGGCGGCTAGGACAGCGCTCCGAGAGCGCCGACGTTATGAAAAACGCTTTAGTTATTTTAACGGAGCAAGCCAACATTTATGGTAACGTGTACAGCCTTTTTGTAGGGAGCCAGTTGATCGTTGTGCTTAATGGTTATGAAGTGGTCAAGGATGCTCTCTCCAACCATCCCGAGGTGTTCTCCGACAGGCCAGATATCCCTGCTGTCACTATCATGACTAAACGCAAAGGTAAGAAAGTGTTTGCATTAAAGAGGGTATTTATTCCCATGCATGTCCAAAACAGAGTGGCATACGCACACTCAGTTTTCTCTGTATTAAGTACATCTACACCTGCAGTAATTTAAGCAAATTCAGTTTTTGTTGGAGCTTGAGAGTTGATTTGCCATGTTGGAGGCTGTAGTATATTTGAATTGTATTGATTTATGCAGAAGGTGTTTTTAATTTTAGTCTGCTCTCATTGATATCAGAAATGGGATGGGCAAATTGTTAGAAACATGTTTGAGTATTACCACAGTCAGACTAAAGGGATAAGATGTACATTTTCTCAGATGTATCTCAATACAATACTGACATGCCCATTCAGAATGTACACTGAAAGAGTTCTTGTGTTGCTGTAATTGGCCCCATTGTCCATAGTGACCAGAAGGAAATGTAAATACATTTTAAACAGACAATCACAGCAAACGAAAACTGTTTCACTGTACATATGAGAATGTGAATTTTCTTTTAAGGCAGACTTGAAAAAATGTGAACCTATCCTCAAACCTACAGGAAAATGTTCTTACACTGTGTATACCTGTCCTATTTCCTTCTAAGTTTCCATCAGATATAATGCACGCATCAGACTACACATGGCAGTTATATTATATTTCACACAGAGCCCCATAAATTCATGAGTACTCCGATGCTGAAGTGCTACCTGGCCCAGGATTGCTGTGTGCCAGTTAGTTCGTGGTCATTTTGATTACACTGCAATATCATTTGTTTTGCTAGTCTAAAGATAATATGTGGAGTTGGCTCTTTAATGAGGAGTTAATGGTTTTGATGAGATATATAGAAAATGCATGGCAGCAAGCACAGAGAACACTGTATCACTCATAGTAGGACACATATGTAAACTGAAGCTGAAATGTTCCTTTTTGTACATCATGGTTTGTCATATGATCAAAGTTTAAGAATACAGAAGTCGCCTTAAAGTCTCTGTTAATTCAGTGTCTGTTGTGCTTGAGCACATATTCCCAAACAAATGACCACAAACTAGTTGCCACTCAGCGAACCTGGAGCTTTTGGGACTCCTGAAGGTCTGGGGGCCCAGAAGAGTTGTTGGCCTGTTCGTAATTCAGTCTAGAAACTGGATATATAACCCAATACAGTTGGACAGCACCACAAAGAAGCCTCCAACCATTAAGTTGAATCAGCACCTCCCTGAAACACACATTGCCAGGCTGTTGTGTTTGACTCCATTTGTTTTATAGGAGATGACTATATGTCATATATTGTTGACTTGAGTGTACACATTTACAGTCATCAAAATAGCCTTAACTCATAGACAGGCTTCATTTACCACCCTAAATCTTAAACCTGGGCTATGCAGTAAACAGGTTGGGCAATAGCAAATAGAAATAAGTTTGGTATTCCAGATTCAAAGTCTCCTTGTAATATTTAGGCAAAGATAATATTGAAAGGTGTAAAGGACAAAATAAGTCTTTCACACCATAAAATGTCAGAAACAATACAAGACAAGTATAACTGTGTGTTTATGGGTATGTTCACATGTGAAAACTGACTATACTGACCCGGACCTAAATGCTCTCTTTGTTGGGGTTAATGACCTGAGGCATAACTCATCTCTTTTCTGGTTTAATTAAAACTTTAGGAATCGTCTTCGCACCTTATGGGCCCATATGGAAAAAGCAACGCAAGTTCTGCCACACCATACTCCGAAATTTTGGCCTGGGGAAGTTGAGCTTTGAGCCATGCATCCTGCAAGGCCTGGCCACCATCAAAACAGAGCTGCTCCGACAGAATGAGACGTCCGGTGGTGCCGGTGTGAACCTGGCCCCGCTGATCAGCAACGCTGTGTCAAACGTCATCTGCTCAATGATCCTGGGTCAACGCTTCCATCATGAAGATCGCGAGTTCCGCACATTGCTGGACCTGATGGAGCGTGGACTGGAGATCTGTGTGAACAGCCCTGCAGTACTCATCAACATCTTTCCACTGCTCTACTATTTGCCTTTTGGGGTCTTCAAGGAGTTGAGGCAGGTGGAAGGAGACATCACATCGTTTCTGAAGAGGATTATTGCAAAACATCAGGAAACATTAGATCCTGAAAACCCAAGGGATCTTGTAGACATGTACTTGATGGAGATGTTGGCCCAGCAAGCTGCTGGAGAGAAGGACAGCAGCTTCACAGACGATTATCTCTTTTATATAGTAGGAGATCTCTTCATCGCCGGCACCGACACTACCACAAATTCAATTTTGTGGATTCTGCTCTACATGGTGTTATACCCTGATATCCAAGGTAAATGTATAGCAACAGTCCATTCTATCCATCCTCTGCTACAGTGAATACTTACAGACCACTAAAATCTAGCACTTTGTGTAGTTTGCTTGTGCAAAACTGACATCCACAGTGATACTGGAGTGCAGTTGTGGGACACTCACCTGCAATATCTCCAATCAGATGCAATTTTGATAAAGTCATATTTATTTCTTATTATTTGCTCTCTAGAAAATTACCTCTGCAAAGAGTTCACATGGCTAATATCCATTGGAGTTTTGATGAATAAAGAAAATAAAGAGTGTAGAAACAGCTAAAGATATGCACACACAATCACAGTTTTTGCAACAAGATTTTCACAAATCAACACAAATACTGTATAGGAATTAATTATGCAATGCATTTTAATTTCAATTAGTATAAACTACTCAGTAATATAAAATAATAACAAAATTAAATTACACAGTAAACTCTGGGACATTCTTAAGCTGATATAAACCACAGATCTTGTTTTCTGCATAAAAAGGAAACTATTTTAGAGGAAAAGGGAATTGGAAATCTGCTGTGCTGGCAACCCACAGCTCAAATACTTCCTAATTTTAGGACATCAAAATGTCTAGAACATTCATTCATTTAACTATTTCTCCAACTGTTTCAGCAGATCAAGACACACATTTACTACTGCATTTAATTCTTTGAAATTGTATTGATCATCCTAAAAAGTGTCCTGAAATCACACTTCGTTTTAGCTTCTGAGATTAGGACTTCATTAATTGTGCAGGAATGATGTGCTTAATGTTGATTCTTTTGATTTTAGACATGGTCCAGGCAGAGATTGATGAGGTGGTGGGAAGACACCGGGGCCCATCTATGACCGATAAGGGAAGTTTGCCCTTTACTGAAGCCACCATCATGGAGGTGCAGAGATTAACTGTGGTGGTTCCTCTGGGTATTCCACATATGGCCTCCAAGACAACAGGTGAACTTAGACAACACCTATGACCCCTCTTTTTTCACTAAATGCTCTGTTAATGGTCCACCAGCCAGATCTCTCAGACAATAATTGTCTCCCAGGGATAATAAAGATTTCTCATAATTTCCTGAGCTGATGGTATTGTAATGGGCCTTTTTTCCCCCTTTCCAGTGTTCAGAGGCCACACTATTCCCAAAGGAACTGTTATCTTGCCCAATCTGTGGTCTGTCCATAGAGATCCCACTCTATGGGAAGACCCGGACGGTTTCAACCCAGCACGCTTCTTGGATGATGATGGAAAGTTGCTCAGGAAGGAGTGCTTTATACCATTTGGCATTGGTATGCCATTCCTTTCTAATATGGGCTACATAACTGAAACAGTCATCATTAAATTTATATTAACTGTGTGTGCGCTCAGGATCTAGTGATTTATTCCATATATCCCACAGGTCGCAGGGTGTGTATGGGTGAACAGCTGGCGAAGATGGAGCTGTTCCTGACGGTTACTAGCTTATTGCAGGCCTTCAAATTCAGACTCCCAGAGGGAATGCCTCCTCCTCCTCTGCACGGACGCTTTGGCCTGACGCTGTCCCCCTGCCCATACACTGTGTGTGTGAGCACTCGCAGTTGAAACACTGGAGAACTTGGTTTGAACAGATTTTCTATAAACAGGGTGCTCTTATGCAAGGAGGAAAAATGCTGGTAAAAGTCTCGTGGAAAGACAATTCCAGGAAAGATATGTTTTTTGAATAGAGTCTGGCTCCTCTGTATATGTAATTATTTTTTATTATTTATTAATTTCCAATTATTATCCATAATATTTCATTTTCAAGTACACATCAGAAATGACCACGATCCAATGTGAGTATTACAATTACAATGATATGATCCAGATTTGCTGCAGATTCTCTCGATTAAGAATCAGGAAACAGCAAATGTTTTGTATATTTACATGACTATCGAGTAGTAATTCTGATGAATTAGCGTAACTTTGTTTGTTATGTAATTAATTGATTAATAAGGCCAGTATTATGTGTTAGATGTCTTGGATTTTAAATGATACCTGCTGAATATCTGTATAGAAATTTTATCATTTCATTGTTTTAAGGTGCATTCCACACATTTATAGAAATCACCACAAATCTGTCCATGTACATGTCCATGAGAGATTTCTTTTGTCCTAGAGATTAAAGCTATATTTCCTGACAAACTCGGTATGTGGATTATTGGCAACCTGTCTATAAAAACTTTTCTTACTTACAATTACCCCAATTTATCTTGGGTTGAGAATGTATGTTATCTTTTTGTTCTTTTCAGTGTTTTTGTTTTAAACATGTTTAGGATGGGGCTGTTGTAGCCCTGTGAAAATGAGATTAAGAATTGATAGAAGATATTCTTTCATCAGAACAGTGGGAGAAATAGTTAATGCTAAAAACTTTAAAAGTGTTGTAGCCTATCTGTTGTTGAGAAATGGTACAGAATGACAATTAGGTTTTGGGTACAAAGTGCAATGTGAAATGGAGCCACTGCTCTGGAAACACAGTATGTGCATCCATAAATATCAAGTCACTTTTTTTCCATTCTGAAAAAACAAACTGACACCAAATCATCATTTTGGAAAAACAGTAGAAGTAAACCCATCAGAAGAGGTCATTCTTAATAAAGGTGGCACTGTACTGACCAGGGGTGGGTTCTGGTATCCCAATGAAAATACATAATTATACCAAATAAAATGACTTTCCCTTGCAGGGAAAACCAGGACATTTTAGGCAGCTGTTCACAATGCAGTGTTTAAAAACATTTCTACTTAAAATTAATTCACTTACTATTAGTAGCTCAGTCAGGTGCAAGTTATGCAGGAAGCTCCCATCAGTTTCAAAGGTGGTGGGCGCACACAGCTCCATCTGCAGATACTGTTAACAGGAATCCAGGAAAGATTTGAAAAAGTTAAGAGTCTGGTTTGTGATTGGACTTTCATTGTCCAATCAGATTCAAGGATAAAAAACTTGGTTAAAATTTGAACTTGTAACAACAGTGTCACACACTGTGTGGGTGACAGAAGCGCTGAGTTTTACATGCAGTTTTCTGTATCAGTACACACACACTAATAAACGCACTTCATCTTTCAGTGTCTTTGTGTAACCTCACCACTGATATCATTTGTGCACAGATTTTAATCACATCTTATTCATCATCATTTTTTTCACATGTACAAACTTTAATTTTTTATGCAGATTTACAATTACCAACTTCAGAATTATCTGTGAATATACATTTACAAGCTCAAAATCACTTGGACCCTACTTTGAGCCCATACAGGTATAGGAAGTAGCATCACAAAGACGGAATCAGAAAATAAGGTTTACTGCCAGGTAGGTTTTCACTTACAAGATATTTGGCTTGTTGTTGACTGGGGGTGACTGAACTGAAATTTTGGTCCTGACTCAGACAAACATGATAGGACAATTTGTTTTGATCATATAAGTTCTTCATATTCCAACATGTTAGGTCTGTTTTGTGTGTATAATAAATAGTAAGGATTGATATGAATATGCTAAAATAAATACAGTATGAACATTGGCATGAATATGCTGAGATATACACAATGTGAACATTAGTAATAGTATGAATGTTAAGAAATGTAAATGCAAGGAAATGAAGGGGGAACAACTAGAGTTATGATAAGAATTCAATGTACACACTACATAACCAATAAACAATAGAGAACAGTACAAATATGGATACAATATAAAATACATAACCAATATAAGCAGGGGTATAACTGGTAAAAAAAATCACTATTATGGATCAGCAGCATGAACATGTATACAATGTGGGTCTGATATAATCAGTGGTATAGACAAGTCTTACTTGCAGAAGTGAATTATAGAGTTTTACTCACCTAGACCTTCCTCACAGTGTCTGTACACTCTGCTGTTGGTGTGGTGGGACAGGTGGAAGTGGTGTCTGTACCGGCTCAGGTCCTGATAAAGACAGGGTTATGCTGGAATCTCCTCAAAAATGTATGGGCCTAGTGCACTTTCAATCATGCCTGATCTCTTCACAGTAATGTAAGGTTGTTACAAAATGGTGAACCGATCGACGTATATTCACTCAGTCTACTGGATCCATACATATCAATTTACAGTCATTAGTTATAAAATAAGCCTAAAGTTACTGACGTAACTAGGTGGGCGACAACCGGCAGGAACAGGCAGAATTCTACTAAACCGCTAAAACGTCTGTCGACAAACATCACTATCATGCATTTATGCCACTTGAAATGTTTGTTGGTACGGTTTGTCATTAGTTGCACTAATGATACTTTTCGCTAAAGAGCCATCATTAGATGATACTCACCAGTCTTGGTGTGAGAAAGTTGCGAGCTCAGCATCAGCATCTCTTTACTTGTCAAAAGCTGTCTCCAGCGGTGGAAAGCCACACCCAAGATCCACTTGTGTTTTGCTTCTTTTCGTTGCCGTTGAACGTGGTTTCTTGTCGGAAGCGGCCCTTAGGGGAGCGTAATTTCAGTAGACATCAAGGTCTTGGTCATGACATCATCACTGTGGCACCTTCACACACTGTTGATAGTATTAATTAATTTTCTAAAAACATTTTCAAACTAAAATTCTGGCCAGATCTAACACATTGCACCCTTTTAAGATAAAGCAAAATAATTGAGCCTAACTTCAAACACATTTCATGCGTACATATTTTGATTTGCTTTTACAGTAATTACTAAAAAATCTATCCTTAGGCCTTCCACATTATTACAGCCCATACCATTGAAACAGACTCTTTGCTAGTGGCTGTAGATGTTTGTTTCATACTGTTTGACACCAATTACACCAAGCAGTACCTCCACACCTGGGGGTTTCTCTAGCATGCAGTGTATTGTATATTATGTGCACTTTATATTCGCACATAATAACTCGTTTTGGCAGTGGCCTCTTTTTGTATAGTTTGTGTTTGCATGAATATGAGAAATTATTATTAAGTACACAACAATAATCATTGTTATATGATATACCATTGCTTCTGTTGTATCTAGTATCAAGGCAATGAGACAGGAAATAATCCCAGACTATGGGTAATATGTAACCCAGCAACAGCTAATTTCACTCACCAGGATGGATCAAATGAACAGCCCAGCTGGGTAGTTCATTTAGGTATTTTAAAAAAAAAACACTTGCCACTTTGGCCACACCAACCCAGCGCCTGTTCTATATAATTACACATAGTAAAATAAACCTTGCTAAAGCAGAATATGTGTGTATGAGGATTGTCCGTGAGACACAATCAGAAATGTTCAACTTCTGACACTTAACCTTTTACTATCAGTAGCTGATTTGTAACTCCTGTGAATATGTGTGTGAAAGGTCACGGAAGTGTCTTCACGATCACGTGACCACCGACCTTCCTCCCACTTTTTTTTTCCGTGTGCCCGGGTCTGGATCTGTGAGCCTGTCCCAGAGTCCTGTAGCAGCCGGTCCACACACATCATGGCTTTCTTTACCCACCAGATCTACAGAGGTCTCTCGTCCTCGGCTGTGAGGAATGTTGTTATTAAACACGTGACGATCATCGGAGGTGGACAGATGGGTGCAGGAATTGCACAGGTACGCGGCAAAATGCCTCCGGAACGGGCTCTGCTTAGCCAAGTAGTTTAGCAGTTAGCTTCACCATAACTAGCCAGCTGACATGCTACAAATCAGACCATGCGCCTCAAGTTTCGACTGAGTTATGTTATATAAGGGTACTAAATATTAAAGCATCCGGATTGGGATCGGGGCTTGTTCCACTTAAACAGCTGTGCGTACAATGTGCAAACAAAACAAGTTGTCATTGACGTTTACCTGAAGTGAAAACCCTGCCTAACATTAGTGCTGCAACCACGATTCATTATCGATTAACCTGACTATTTATTTATCTTCACTAAAAGAATAAATTATATATAAATAGTATGACAGCTGCATATATACAAACAGTTTTACATGTATTCAGCCATACATGAAAACAAAGTAAACGAGCGGTAGGAAGCTAATAGTCCATGTAAATACCTTAAACCTGAAGGCAAGACAAACTGAATTACACTAAACGAAAATAGTAAAGGTCAGAGAGACTATTGTATAATAATGGGGAAAAAAGAAAAGATATATATGTTCCAACAGCAATGTCCAACAACCAACACTATTATTGGGAATTCACCAGTGTGTGTTTTAAGTTTGAGTCCCACGATACAGCATCTCTGTATCTGAATGAAAATTCAAACAACTGCCATTGAATGCCTTCTGATTATTATCTTGGCTAATCATTTTGTCTATAAAATGTCATAAACTGTGAAAAAGCCTGGTACAATTTCCCAAAGTGAAGGTGATGTGTTTAAATGTCTTAATCTTATCTGACCAGCAGTCCAAAACCCAAAGATGCTCGGGGTTACTGTCATTTAGGACAAAAGAAACATCAAATCCTCACGTGGGGTCATTGAGATCAAACAACTCCCTGATGATCTGCCTAAAACTTTGCACAGTACTGCCCGCTTTGAAAAGAATTTCAGTTTATGAATCATTACATTAAGATACCATTTTGTTGCATATCATATAACTACAAAAGCCAATAGTAGCCAATGGTACTTTTAAAAACAAGTTTTACATTTCCTTGATAGTCAATGGTTCTTTTCTTTTCTCACAGCACAATCACCGATTGTTTCCATCAGGACGCTGTGTTTAGAAATTATTCACTTGTCCGTAAATGCAGTTGTTTCCTTGTGATGTAACATAGACAAGACACATGAAGGATTCAATTGAAATGCATGCAGGGAATTTTAGAAGATACAGATCTTTGCCACAAGGTGTCACCCTCCGTATTTGGTCTTGAGTAATCTACTATAGGAGAATGTGAGCTGCCTCAAATACATACCACATGCTTACAGAATACAGTTCTGAGTCTCACAGTATACATGTTGTCATGTGGTGTTTGTCGTTTTTATACCACAAAAAAAAATGAAAGTACTAACTTTTGTATTGATACTGTTTTTGTTAGTTTTTTCTGTGACCATCATGTGTCATCAGGCTGTTTCACCACCACTCTCAATGTGTATCTCCATATCCTTTTGTGCATTGCACTCTACATCGACCGCACACTCAGAAATCAGCAGCTGTTTTTTATTAGTATGCAGCTGTGCTATAAAGTCAGCGAAGACTTTAAAGACAGGCAACAGTGGCTGTTGCTATTATCTGCTGCAATTACACAGAAAGAGCTTCAACAAACTATCACCTGCATCACCTTATTTGCTCCCACCTCAACATCACTGACAAGCTGTGGCTGTATTTTAAGTTGTCGTGAACTCATTTCCTTCTGGAAGGTTGCTGCATCGACGGGCCACTCGGTGACGCTGGTGGACACAAATGACGACATCCTGAAAAAGTCTGTCAAAGGAATCGAAGGGAGCCTTAAAAGAGTGGTCAAGAAGAAGTACGCTGATAAGCCAGAGGTGAGACGCAGTAGATCAACAACCAGGTCGCTGCTAGAGTGAAATGTGTGCAATTAATGGGCAATATTGTGTTCGGTTTGTTTCAGGCAGGTGAAGAGTTCATCCAGAAAGTCTTGCAGAATGTTTCTACCTCGACAGATGCTGGATCTGCTGCGCAGGGCTCGGATCTTGTGTTGGAAGCCATTGTGGAAAATCTAAAAATCAAGCAGGATCTCTTCGGTCGTCTTGACAAGCTGGCACCGCCGTAAGCACTGTCCCATTTCTGCTCTATTCATTAGCTATAAGTGTTAGATCGGAAAAAGAGTGTGGCCTCAGTGTGGCATCATGACTGTGCAATCACGTGCCAGGAAATGCCAAGAGGATTTCACACCAACCAGAAGCTGCATGTTCTGCGTTTTATAGGTTTCAGTGTGTGCTGTTATCTAAAGCATGTTTCCACTTCAGTTATCAGTATTTAAAAAGACCGAATCAACTCTTCTAAATTTCCCAAACACAAGAGGGACGAGAGCAGATGTTACGTTTGGATAATGACAGGGAAAAAAGTGCGGAAAGGCTCACATCTGCTTTTAGTATAAACTGCTGTCCATATTATGTGCTGCTTACTGCCCGTTTTTCTGCACTTCGCATTTTAGACACACCATCTTCGCCAGCAACACATCCTCCCTGCCTATCTCTGACATCGCCAGCTCCACCAACCGGCTGGACAGATTCGGCGGCCTCCACTTCTTCAACCCGGTCCCTATGATGAAGCTTGTAGAGGTAGGGCCCCAAAAAAATAAAATAAATAAATCAGTGTTTATTTTTATTTATTTGTCTTCTTCAGATCAAACAGTGTGAACGGCAGCGCCCACTAGGACAGAGATGTGAGAGTGGAGATGACTTCTTATCTAACTCTCTGAAAAAGCAAATGAGTGAATTTTCAAAAATTGTCCTTGTTCAAAAGCATCGCGTAAACTACCAATAATTAAGTTACAGAGGACGGCTCTCGCGTGCAGAGCTCACCACCCCCATGCTTTTAACACATTATTTGGACCATTATCCGACAAGAGATTAATAGAATATACTGATTCAGATTAATACTGATTGAACACTCGGGGCTTTTGCTTCTTCAGAGGGAAATACTGAGAATTGAAAAATGCCCCGAATATAATCTAATAAAGCGTCACAGGCTGGTGTGGTGTAGACGGTGAGATTCTTAAATCACTGAAGCACAGTAAAGGCATTATACAGCTGTCTAATGGCAGCAGCACTTAAGTATTGATCTTCCACAGGTCATTGGAACCTCAGCAACAAGTCAAGAGACTTTTGATTCCCTCCTGAACTTCAGCAAAATGCTTGGAAAAACACCCGTGTCCTGCAAGGTAAGATTTGCCGCCTGATTTCTTTACAGCTGTAGGCTCTCGCAGAATATATCAAATGGCCCACTCAGCAGAATCCAACGTCTCTCTACTCAGGATACACCAGGATTCATTGTAAACCGCCTGCTTGTTCCTTACATAATGGAGGCCATCCGGTTGTATGAGAGAGGTGTGTATACCTGCATGACCACCGAATGTCTCCACAGTGAAATTGCCATAGAAGTGTATAGGGGATGATTTACCAAGTGTCCATTACTTTTTTTTTTTTTCTGGGTGGGAATTTTAATTGGAAATGTAAGACTATAAAAGAATCTTGGCATCAAGTTGCAGGGATCAAATTCAGTATTGCTTATCAATTTTAATTTCTGAATGATTTCTGCATGTTTACGTTGTTTTTTTGTTCCTCAGGTCATGGATCTAAAGAGGACATTGATATTGCCATGAAACTTGGTGCTGGTTATCCCATGGGGCCCTTTGAGCTCTCGGACTATGTAGGACTAGACACAATGAAATTCATTATGGATGGTGAGTTGAACTATGTGGGTGCGGGGGCGAGGCAGAAGTGACTTTAATTTAAAACTGTGACTGCCAAGAAGTAAGATGACATCACAGTAAACAAGGAGAAACAACGCTCATTTGAATGAACTGATATATTAAATGTAAAATCTCATTCCGTTCTATTATTGCATATGTTTAGGTTGGAGTGCAAAGGATCCCCACAACCCACTCTTTGCCCCGAGTGAATTGCTGAACAAGTTGGTTGCGGAGGGCAAATATGGCAAAAAGACGGGAGAAGGATTCTACAAGTACAAGTAATGAAGTTTTGCAGCGTTTCTGGTTTTGCGTGGAGGACGTCGATCTGGAACGAGTCAGAAAATGAACCATCCAAGAGGGACTAATAAGAAAAACGGAAATAGAAAAAGTGCCTGTGCCTTCTACATGAAAGGTCAACTTTTGTCTGTCAGTCCATTTTCTTATGTATTTATCCACTGAATGACATTTTTGTGTGTGAGGAGATTAAATGAAATGAAATTAAAAAAAAAAAAAAAAGATTTTTTGAACACTTTGTTGAAGTGACTGTTTTGCAGATGCACATAAAAGTCAGGTTGACAATACCTCTTATATCTACCAGCATCAGTTCAGAAATAGCGCAACTTTTATTGGAGCCTTGAATAGGACCTGAAGCATTTCTTTCAGCTTAAATTGAATGTGCCACACAGGTCAATGCTATGGAAAGTAACTTTGACAGTTTGAATGAAACAATTCAACTGATTACTTACAGCAGCTATAACCAATTTTATAATAATGTATCAAATGAAATGTGAAGATGGTTGCTCATAGTGGTGGACCTATAGAAAATAATCATGTGAATTATCTGCAGCAGCCATCGGCGTCATAGTGACTTTCGGCTCGCTGTTTAGCTGTCCGAGCCGCCACTTCACTGCCCTGGTGCACCACCACCACTCTTAAGTTGTAAAAACCAACTTTATACCACCCGCTCAGCACTGAACAACAGACTGACAGTAGTTGGTGAACTCGGTAGCCAACAAGCCAGAAGGACACTGAATTAGCAACAAGTTCATCAGATCAACGTTAAAGATGTTGACATGTCAGTGTTCACAACTTGCTCCCCCAAGTGGCTGAAAAAAAATCTGATACGGCAGCTTTAAAGTTCCCTTCCATGATGTTTTAAGTCAGAAAATACCCTGCTTTGAAGAATATTTTCTGTCTGGTATTGTTTCTCCACAATAAAAAAATCCCTCAAATTACATCTATTCTGTCTCTCGGCAAAAAATAAATCACTCATTATGCAAATATTGTTCATTTCAAAAGTTGAACTGTGGACACAAGATGTCTCCTGCTTCACTGAAAGGTCCAGTCTCAGTGTTTGTGCACTTGTGTGTCCACATGACAGTTGAGTAAACTGCATATTTGATTACCGTTGGCCTCCGGATTAGTTGTAATAGCGTAAAATCATGATCTTAAACTGAGATTTATAAAAAAGGCACAGAGAAACTTCAGCAGATGAATGTGAAAACAACTGTCAAACTCACATAAATCATTCTGCACAGTGAAACACCCAAGTGAAGAAACAATAAATATGCAGACCACATTTATGAGAGGAGGAGCCTCATACCATGTACTACATACTATAAAAGGTATAATAATAACTTCATATTGTAATTCTACTATTGCAGCTTCTGTCAGCGTTAAAGGGTTATTTGGGGCTTTGTAAATAAAACTGACTTGAATGCACAAATTGAGTCATTTGTCATGTGCTTTTATAAAGCATCTCAAACTTCAGGAATGTTTGGTCTTACCCTCTTGGTTTCTTCAAAATGTCCTGTTAACCAAACAAAAACACAAGGTGGCGCTGTTTTACTTGAAATGGGGACATTCAAGAGACACAGTTCAGGTTTGTCTATACAGGACATTTTCCTTTGATCTTGGCTCTTTCATCAAAAATGTTGTTTACTTAAAAAAAAAAGTTGATTGTTACCTTAAGAGTTTTTATTGAGTTTTTCAGAATCTTTTTTTAAAAAACAAAAATCATCTCATTCTCCAGTCGAAAGATTTGAATGCTCAGATGATATATGCTTCATTATCATTGCAATAATACTGTACAAATGTAGCCCTGAGCATTGTGTGTTTTTGGAGTTTTAATTATTGAAGTTGAATTTTTTAAGTTGTATTGAATGTGTTTTACCTGCTTCATACTGCCAGTGGATACTTTAATCTCCAAGGATGACACACAGGCTGTTACATCTGGCACTTTCCAGCTCTGGTCTTTCCACCACACAAGTGATCACATGAGCCAATGGTGCCTTTTTATTTTTCCTTAAAAAATAAACAAAAACAAAACAAAAAACAAAACAAAAAACAAAAACATGTTGGAACAGTTCAAATATGACCACTTGGGAAGCAAAATGCTCTACCAAGATGACAGTGACCCAGAATATGATAATAAAAAAAGGAATTCATCAAGTAATACTAAAATAGAGCATTAAAATCAAAATGTTACAGAGATGCTTGCATGGAATAAACAACATGGCTAAAGACCACACTATTAGCTACCAGAGAGAAAAGACAAAGGTCCATTGCAATAAAAGAAAGACTGCCAAGTGCTGGGGTAAATATATATATCTGCTTCATTTGTCATGTTTTAGAACAATAAAATATAGGCCTCTGAGCTATCACTCTCGCCTTTGTCCTAATGTTGCCTGCAAAAATACCAAGAAAATTGACATATCCTGACAGTTTTAAAAAGTACACATACTGAGCATTATTTTACATCTGAGCAAGACTCGAGGTCACTATTTGTTACAAATAGTTATCAAAAGAAGCCTTAAGTTTTAATTTTCTGCAAGACGCTTCAACAAGAAAAATGGCTTTCCTGTGTCCAAAGCTTATTTTCATATAGACCACTATATAAAAAAACAATATTTAAAAAAAGAAAAAAAAGAAAAAAAAGAAAAATAAAATCACTAAAATATACACCGAGAAATTGAAACAAGGGTTCAAGATACAAAAAAGCATTCAAAATCAAAATTCAGTCTAAAATGAAAAGCAAATCAAATTGTTGATCCTTTTTTGCACCAACTGGTCAGCAACAAACTACAATGGCGTCTTGAGGACGTTTCTTAGACAAGATGAGATCCCTCCATCTTCCTTAGTGCAGTCTAAAAAGAGGTGTTTGGTCAGTCGGGCGAAACCCCAAATGGTCTCAAAAATCCAGTGAGAGAGCGAGAGAGAGAGAGGGGAGGGGGTTTTCAGGGAGTGAATGTCGGCCTAATAAACTATACAAAGGAACAGAGGTGACAAATAACTTACAATAACTTAGAAACAGGTGTTTGGAGAGTTTGGGCGGTGCGGGGGAGAAGTTTGTGCGCACATCAAAATTGCTGCTGTTTTTCAGTGCAGTGCCTTGGATTGCAGTAAAGCTGATTTGTAAAGGAAACTGACAAAACACAGACGTCAAATTGATGCTTTCTGGGTTTTCGGTGCGAGAACGTGGTTTTCGTGAGGGTGCTCCTACTAATCATGATTGTCTTGTTCAGTTCAGTGTCTCTACAGCAGGCGCCTTCAGGAAGGGAGTAGAGTCAAACAGTGAAGTGTTTTTGGTGGTGGTGGCATGTGACTGTGTTGAAGGAAAGGGAGTAGGGTTAGGTGGGGGAGGAAAGGGAGGGGAGGGAGGGAGGAAGGGAGGGGGGGTCCTCTGAGAACTGGAGGCTTCAGTTTGGAGATTTAAGGGTCTTCATGGAATCTAACAGGCCTCCATCTCTAGCAGAGGGCCCGTAGCTGCTGCCTTCGCTTTGCATGTGGAGAAATTGTTCCGTTTTCCTCCTGAAGAAGAAGAAAAAAAACAACACAGATTAGAACAAAAGAAAAGACGATCAATCGACTGCACAAACTATGAACAAACTGCATCTGTATACAAAAAGGAAAATCTGCTGATTTTCCATGGGAAAAAAAAATTGTTTTTGAAACACATCAGCAACCCACACTAAAACACGGGTCACATTCACGTCACATTAACCAAAACCAGACATATCAAGATGAATCAGAATGACTCAAAAGTGTCTCAGCATGCAAGCATTCCTCCCCACATCGGCAAAGGACAAATTACAAGCATTACCGTCTACATAATCAATCTTTTTTTTTTTGTCCTTAATGTTACAGCTGATTGAATGAAAGCCTGAGTGTTGAGCCAAGCACTGAACTACAGAGGGGCTATAGGTCAGTGACAGGATGTGGGCTGGTCTGGCTTTGATCTAGTCTGACATGGGGGTTGCCGTGACCCAGCTGGCAATGCTACGCTCCTCTGTGCCCTCCCCTGACTGACTCACTCCTCCTCTCACTCTCTCAAGGCAAGCACCCAATTGTGTAGCTTCTGGTTGACATTTAGGCCGCCACTGCAGGTGGGCGATGGGAAAACAAGATGAGGAAATACTCTCCGCACAGGAGGATCACCACATTGACCCAGCCGGTTAAAACTAGCAAGAGTTCATGAAACTATAGATGGTAATTATCTGAACCAAAGCAGTCCAGGTGCAGGTTGATGCTGTGGTGTAAAAATGTTACCTGACTGCTCAATCCACTTCACAGGACTCTCATGAAATTGGCCCCTTTCCCTGACAGGGAAATTGTTTGTCAAGCTGCAAAAGTGTTCTTTTCCCTCTCGTGATCCGGGCTTGAGCTAACATAACAGAGTTAGCTTCAGTTATTGACAAGCCAAGGAGAGTTATTTTAGACCAGAGCAGCATCAAATAGAATCTGTGATCAAAGTGGAGAGACAGAGGTGGATGGATGCCTCCTGCGACTAAAAAGATGGATGTTTTGTGAAGGCGAAAAAAAGGAAAAGAAACGGTATTAGTTTGCCTCTCCCTTGTGGCAAAGCCAAGAGTGTGTTTTTGTAGGAGAGAAGTCAGCTGAGCCCTGCTGCTCGCTGCATCTTAACACTCAAACACACACAAAAACACACACACACACACACACACACACACACAATCCTGCAGACTGCTTTACCACATGTGGATAAAAGGGAACAGGACAGAGGCCACCTTTCCCGAGGAGAGCTGACCCTGAGCTGCACAGAGCAGAAACTGAAAGGAGCACAGCGCTCAGAGAGAAAGAGAGAGCCCCTGTCGCTTTTATTTACCTCCGCCGCCCTCCCTCTTTTCATCCCAGGATCTCAAAGCGGGCCCGCACGCCCGGTACTGCACCCTGTTTCCTGGGGAGCATTTTTCCTTCCCCCACCACAGACATGAAAAGCGCTGGCCTTCCTGCCTGGGGAAGAGGCCTGAGGGGCTGCGGGCGAGAAGCTGTTGTGTGTGGTGTGTGTGTGGTGTGTGTGTGTGTCGTGTCGTGTGGCGTGCACTCAGTGTGTGTGTGTTTCCAAAAAAAAAAAAAAAAAAAAAAAAAAAAAAGGGTTGGTGGTAACAGCAGGGATGTGTGCTTGCGTGGTGGTTGGTTGTAGGGGGCAGCAGGCCAGCGCTTCACAAGGTCCAGCCGACACAAACACTGGGATTCAGGAGCAACTTGACCCCTCCTCTCCTCTCCCCTCACCTCCCTCCTCCCCCTCCTCCCCCTCCCTCTACATTAGTGCTCAGGAATGCCGGCTGGAGTTTTTTTTTTTTTTTTGCAGGAAATGAAACGCTCCTCTGTTCAGACGGCTAGCGAAGGTTTAGTCTTCCCCCTTCTCTCTCCCCCAATTCCTTTCCCTCTACGGGACGGAGGGAGGGAGGGAGGGAGGGAGAGGGGAGGGGAGGGGGAAGGAGTCGGACAAGCTCTCGCCCAGCTTTTGAAGTGTGGGAGGTTAAGATAACTGGCACAGCCTCGCGTCTCAATCGCCGCTTTCACCTCCCAGGCCAAATCAAAGCGCCCGCAGCTGGGGCCCACCCGCCTTATAGCCCCTTAACCTCCAAACCCACCGACCCACCCACCTCCTCAGCTCCCTCCCTCCTTCCTTACACGGAGCTCTGGGGTTTCTTTTGGTGCCATTAAAAAGGAAAACACCGCCGACAAATTACTCTAAAAATAAGCCAAGTGGAGAGAGGTGTCTCCAGCACAGGCTGACGTGCAGACTTTACCATGGCAGAGAGAGGACGGGAGATTTGGAGGACATAAGAGAGGGAAAGACTAATGGGAGAGGGAGAGCAACGCAAGTGAAGAAAGCTCTGTTTTGAAGGATGATTCCTGTTTATTACAACTTGGGTCTTATTTTCATGGTTTCATTCTTTATCGGTTATGACAAGATTGTACTCGCCAAGTTAATTGAGAAGTGGGAACATGATGACACTGCTAAAAACTAGTCTGAGGGTTTGTATACAACCTGCCTGACTGTCACACTGCACATATTTCTTGCCCCATTGGACTTCCTTTGAGCAATCTCGCCCCGTTATCAGATCTCAGCAAGTAGGAAAGATAACCAAAATTAATACGGCAAGTTTGAGTTCTGTGTTGTAATAAACTGGAATTATCCTTCAACTGTCAGGTCAAAGTCAGGGCACAAAAATACTCTGAGGCTGCAAATATTTTCATTATCCTTGAATCTGTCAATTATTTTCTCAACTGTTTGGTTGCTTACTCTAGAGATGGACAGAAAAAAAAATAAAATGCACATCACAATTTCTCAAAATCCAAAGCAAGAAATGGCTTGTTTTTGTAAACAGTAGAAAAACCCCAGGAAGATGGTCAGAAACAGAAAAGCAGCTAAAACCAGTGAATGTTAAACTGTCAATGAAACAATGAATCAACTACCCAACTTGTCTGACCCTCCACCAATACAATCAGCACAAGTGACAAGAACCATAATTGGTTAACGAAACAGAAACAGAACCAACTAAATAAACCAATCCGACCTAATCTCACGAGGATGAAAGCTGAAACTGGTGGCCCTCTTATTTCAACCTGAGATCCTATAAAAAAAAAAAAAGTGCCAACTCTTTGTTACATCATACACTGAGGTCAGGCTAACAGACCATGTGCTCTAGTAAGGAAATGTCCACACATTTAGATTAGAGTCTGAGTGTGGTGACAAGTCTTGGCAGTGATCGCACAACTGGCTCTGGTGACACCTTTTCAAAGAAACCTCTTCTCTATAAAATTGTGGCAGTGCCGCTCTTAGAGACAAGGGGAAAATAAAACAGGCAAGGCAAAAAAAAAAAAAAAAAGGCACCTGAAAGAGAAGGCGATGTCTTAAACAAAAATGCTGTGCACTGTCAGCACTTTCTTCAGCTCTGAGACATTCAACATAAAAGAAATCGCCACTTAAGAAAAGCTTTGAAATTTTTAACATCCAATCAAAAGGGGGGCTCAGGGGGGCTGTATCTTTACCACAGGGGCTATCAGCAACTAACCAGTTAGCCAGGAGGAGCTCAAACTAAAAGGGTAAAGAGAAAGAGGAGGAAAGACTGTTAAATATTGGAGAGTAGGGAAGGGTGGAGACTGGTTGTGGTCAAAAGGGGAAAAGGGGAGGGTGGGGGGGAGTCATCAAAACCCCAAACCTCAGGCATGTGTGGGTGAGACTAGGGGAGCATGGGAGGGTGTGGATAGGAGAGGGGGGAGGTAGTGGGAGGCGTTGCCCACATCTGAGGCGGCATCGCTGGGGGCCCGGGCAGCTGAAGTCTGGCCGTGTGCCCCCGCACAGCTCAGTCTGAGCCGCTGCAGGCTGGGGGATGTCAGGAGGTGGGGTGTGGGGCAGTGAAGGAACTGACTCCACAGTGTTGTGTATGTTCAGAGGTTTATCTCGATGTCTCTTTGCCTGGCAGATGTGTGTCTATGTGTGGTGGGAGAATTAAGCAGATAATGCCGTGAACATTTCAATAGAAGAGAAGTTATATGGAGAACTGAATTGATAGGGAGGCATTAATGTGTGA